TCCAGAGCTCCTGGGTTGTGTTCTTTGCTCTGGCGCCAACTCACCATCATCTTTGGGCAGTCGCTTTCTGTGCGTTGCTTTGCCCAGCTGCCTTAGGGTAGCACAAAACGGGTTTAGAGACTGATCTTCCATCAGTGCTGGGCAGTGACTCGCAGCTGCAGAGGTGAAAGGTGAGCGCCCGAGCTTTGCGCCTCACTTGAGCGTGTTTTCTTTTTCCCCTGCTATCATCATTATCAGAATGAGCCTTTCCTCTTCTCGGTTCTTGCTGAGAAAGGGGGATTTGGAGTGGTTCTTTATACAGCTGTTTTTACTGTAGTGAGAAACTAGCTTGACATATTTGAAAGCAAACAGAAGGCTCCCTCCCCCCCCCCCTTTAACTTGTGTACCTTAGTCACTCTGCCTGACATTTAGCTGATGCCTCAAATAATTCTTCAAGACAAAGTAAATGGGATTTCCTTTGATACAGCGATTCTTCAGTTACAGGCATTTTAAGTATGCATATTTTGACAGTCTTCTAGTTGTCTGGTCTTTTATTTCTATAAAGAAAAACACCCGGCTGTGTTTCAAAATTAACAACAATGGATTGTTGTTCTCTGGATTTCGGCAGAAATGGTGGTTGCATGAAGAAATTAATGGAGAATGGTTTTCATAGACTAATTGCAGCAAGAGATGGAAAAGAACCAGTGCGCCCATCAGGGTGTGATGCCAATGCAGGGATATAGTAATTTGCTCAGGGCCTGTTGTTCAAAGGTGCCGAATGCTTGCAGTCCCGCTGCCTTCATTTGGAATGGTGACCTCTTCGGAAAAGCAGATTCCTTGGGCAAGATTCATCGTTGGGGTAACTCAATGAAGTTAGTAGCGTTCTACTAGGAATGTATTTGGCCCGTTTTGCTAGAACGAAAAAGGCCAGAGTTTCAGTCAATGGCCTCCATTTTGGCAGATTCGCTAATTCTGCTCACTTAGTGTAAGTTTTTGATTGGTGGGGATCATCAGAGACCTTGATGTTGACATGAATTAAATAGCGGGTGTTCACTGGTGCAGTTTTGCACCTTCAAAACTGTAGACTTGGATAAAGGTGTATTGAAAATTTGACCCAATGGGCTATATCCGAAGCCTAGGGAAAGACTCCCGTTAACTTTAGTAGGAATTGGATCAGGTCTTTTATACATAATGTCAAGGTAGAAATTGAAAGGTGTCAAAGGAGCATTTTGGTCTTTGACTAAATATTTACTTCATTTTGATCTTCTGTCTTAGAAAATGTATGGAGCCAATTCTCTGTTCTTCCAGAGGATTTCTTCATCGGAAACTGGAGAGTTCAAATTGGTCTTACAAGGAGACTTTTGTAGCCATTTATACTCGGTAGAAAGCAACATTTAGCACCAGACCTTTACTGGTATAAATCAATTTATCTCCACTGAAGTCAGCCAGGCTATACTGATTTACGCCAACTGAAGAACCGGCCTTCCATACCCAAGTAAAGCCTTGAAAAATATGCTTAACTGGTTAGTGCGGTTGAGGTTCTTGGTCAAGGGCCACACCCAAGTCTTCTCACTGACTTCACTGGGCTTTGGGTACGGTTGGCGTGAAATTGGATTAATTTTGCTCCAGTAAACCCCTGAAATCTGCCATCTGTTACTAGGATTCCAAGATGGTCTCTGAGAAGAGAGTTCAGACTGTAATGTCAAGGAGTGTTTCCAGCTGCTCCAGAATGGTTAGCGTCATTATTGACAATTTAGAGAATTATTATTTCCGGCCATTTCAGCTTGTTCATTTCCTCTGCAGTGCATCTGGTACGACAGTCGGGGCACAGGCTATCATTGGGATTTTGTTACTGTTGTTTATTATTTGTATGACCGTAGCACCTAAAGGCCCTAGTCATGGGCCAGGACCCCAGTGTGCTAGGCGCTGTACAAACATAGAACAAAAAGCTGGTCCCTGCCCCAAATTGCTTCCGATCTAACTACAAGACAAGAGACCACACAGGGATACAGACAGCCTGACGGGAGAGTACAAGGGAACGAGGCAGAATGAGACAGGATTGGTCTCAGCACACGAGCAGCCTAACTGGTGTCAAGTTTTCATAGGCAAACCCAATAAGTGTCATTGGAAGTCTGTACCTGAATCACGGCATACCATGCTGCAAGCCAGTTCCTGCTGCATCTGGAGAGCACGAGGGTTGCTGCTTGTTCTGAATCAGTGGTTCCTAACCACTACGCTGTGCGCCACTACCAGCGCTTCGGGCTTTTGTGTGACTGTAGGCGGCTTCCTTTCCCTCCCTTATGCCCTGCTCTGCTATCTCAGTCTGTTCTCTAGATTTCCAAGAGGCAGGCTGAGAAGGTAAAGGATTAGCTGGGTGCGTAGCCCAAGGAAATGGCCCTGGGTAGTCAAAGAGCATCTCCCAAGACCAATCTGAAGAGTCTCATTTGTCTTGTGCAATGGACCAAGATTCACCTGCGTGAAGGAATATTCACCAAACCAATGACTCACAAGTTGCAGGGACGATTTCTTTACAAATCCTTCTACACGGAGCATTTCTAGCTATTGCCGTTGAGTCTGGCAGTGGCAGAGCATGTCCATTGAGGTCTTGCTCCTGTTAGTCATTGACAAAATGCCCATTGAATTCAATGGAAGCCAGATCAGGCCTCACCTCAGCTGCTTACCTCCATTACAGCATACGCCCTGGGTGCAGACGAGATGGCAATCGTTCGAACAATTCATCCACTGGGGTGTTTCTCCAGAGATGGGTGCCCCAGAAATGCAGTACACGCCCTTTTATCCAAAAGGCCTGGGGGACCTCTGAAAGCTTCCAATAACCAGGCATACACATGTGGACTCGGATAACTAGGATTTTCAGGTAAAGGGGATTCAGATAGCTGGTATTTAATTTCACATGTGCCCAACTTTCTACACATGAATAGTCCCATTGACTGCAAGCACGTTGACTAATCGTGGGTGCAAAGCTACGTAGGTGTATAAGTGTCCGGAAGATGGGGGCCCAAGTATATAAATATACACGGCTACAAGAATCCTGGCAAACATAAAGGGGTCAAATCCTGCTTCCTGTGGGTGAAATTCTCCCCCATGCAAAAGACCAACACAAGGCCCATATCGTCAAAAGTATTTAGGCAACCAACTCCCATTGAAATCAGTGGGAGTTAAGCAGCTAAATATCTTTGGAGAGTCTGGGCCATAGGGCTTAAGTGGGACTTGAGCAGGGCATTGACCTTGATTGGTCAACCTTCTACACGGAGTGAATTTCCCCTTCATATGAGCTGGAATCAGTAAGACCAGCATTGGCCATGACGCTGGTGGAAATCCAGAGGAAGCATGTTCACTCAGAGGACTTACTCCAGGTCTACCTCTGTGTAAATGAGATGAGAACATGGCCCAATGGGCTCCTCGCAGGAGTAAGGCAATCCGCACGGGCCCTGTATCCCAGTTAATTGCCCTGTCTATGATTTCAAACTGACTTTGCGCCTTGTCGACTTCCCACCGCCAAATGTCTCCAAGCGGCCCCTGTACAATTATATACGGCAAAGAAAATGAAAGGTCAGTCATGCCGTCCACACGGCTGTGGCGAGCTGGCACCATTTGTTACTACCGCCTGTAATTATTCTGCATTTGATACCATCCTAGGCTGAGGGAGTTGTTCTTAGCAACAGAGTTGGATTTTATTGCCAGTTGTTTTGCAGTTGGATTTGTGCCATAGGTGTGGGGTAGAAGGCAGAGTGCCTAGCTCTCTTCCTCTTCCCTGTTTATCTAACTTTTTGACCCTGGAGAATTTGATTCTATTTTTTTCCGTCTTTTCCTCTTTTAAAAAAAAAAATTAACCTGGCTCAATAGGAGGCATTTTCTTGAACTTATTAAAAATCCAGACTTGTAAATTAATTTGTTCATGTTGTACAATGGCAGTGCAGATGGACTCATTAGCATGCACACAACAAATAATTATAGATGAATTTTTAGCTGGCCTGCTTAATGGGCTTGCTGGGTTAATTATGTCAATGTATAATTACATCAGCCCTGGGAGACATAATGGCACACCCTGCTGAGCAGACACTAGCTAATGATGGTGTAATGCTGACAGAGGGAAGACATACTGTTCTGAATGCACCTGCTTACCTCTGCACAAACTGCTATTGTCTGTGCCTGCCTTTGCCTAAATAAACAGGCATTATCAGGAGTGTGTGTTGCTGGCTGGCATTCGAGCAGGTTTCGGGGTGGGAATGGAGGGCCACACGAATAGGAGTCGTCCTGAAGGCCTGGGATGAAAGCCTTTATTCTCGCAGCGCTTACGAGTGTGCTCAGACTTCAACACGGCTCGCTGGCTTATGTTAAGGACAATCTCAAAGACGCCTCGTTTGGATTCCGATCTCCCTGCCCCACTCTAAGGCCTGGGTTTTAAAAAGCTCCCACATGCCCCAAATGCCCGTGTCACTGAGGCCACGCGTCCTAGCTGGTGGTTTGCATGCACACCGCTTTTCCAGGATCGCTGCGCTGTACGGACGCATGGGTGACTGGGGCAGTCAGAAATGGGGGCCTAAATCAGGAGCTAATCCATAGACTTGGCTGCAGTCGCTCCGTATTGATGCTGGTGTAACCGAGAGCAGAGTCTGGCCCCTTTAATTTAGGAAGGTGGCTGCGGCATGCACACTGTTCAGAATCGAGAAGGGGGTTTGTAAGAGGAAACCCATCCTGCCTTCCCTGCCATGCGGGAAATTTGGGTGTGCAGGGAATGCAGCCTGGAGCTCACGCCTAGCTGCCATGGCCATTACAGTCTGGATCAACGGCCCGCTAAGGGAGGCCCGTGTTCCCCCTGATACAGATGGCCTCAATCCAGTGCAAAGGAACAGTTACGCTCACCCTAGCATTGGTCACCGTCCCGGCCCGGGCATGCAGGCTCTGATCCAGGCTGCAAGCGTCCGCATTGTTCCCAGACGGCGCGGGGGCAGCTCACTGCCAGCTGCTGCCCCTCACCTCGTCGCCTTGCTCCCCTTTAGACCCCGTTCCTGTCCTGGAGGTGGCGCAGAGCTCAGAAGAGAGGCTGCAGCAGGTCCAGTGCCTCGACCCTGAGAACCCACCCCTGAAGGAGCTCAACAGGCAACGGAAGAAGCATCCAGAGCTCCTTGGCACCAAAGGTACCAGCTGCTCCTCCCTTGCCCTGGTTCATTTCCAGCACCCGGACAAGGGAGAGCCAGGGGCATGTCCCTGTCCCCTGTCCCCCGGTGCTGGGGCAGGCAGAGGCCTTTGCAGGCCTCCAGTTGAGTTTCCAGCTGGGTGGTAATAATAACCCTTAGCGCTTGTATGGGGAAAATCATCCGCCCTGTCTGTGCTCCGCTTGGGGCATGGGACACCCCGGCGACTGGGGGAGGGATGGACACTTCCCTGCACTCTGCTTCAGGGCTGCGTGTCGAGGCCAGGCCGATCCAGCATTTCCAGGGTGGGAGCAGCTTCATGGGGCTTTTGCTCCAAACCAGCTCAGTCCCTTCCATGGAGCTTTTCTTCCCATCCCCGACTCGGAGTCAAAGGTGAGAATGGAAGGCCAGGCAGACGGGCGGGCCAGCTCCCTGCAGCCTCGCGCTCTCCCTGGGCCGGGGGTCCCTGCTGGGATCCACTGTAGATTAATCGGTGCTCCTCTCTGCCCAGTGAGGGGCCGCCTGGGGGCTGGTTTGACGGGTGAGGGCTGTGCTGGCGAGTGCCTGTCACTGAACCCCCACCTGATGCCCCCTGTGGTGTGTGGAATCTGTTCCATTTGATACGCTTCAGGGAGGGGCCTAATCCTGTGTGCCCCCAGGAGGTTGTCTACTCCCATTAAAGTCAAGGGGCCTGATCCTCAAAGTCGATGGAGCTGCGCTGATTTGTACCAGCTGATCACCGTGAAAGGGACTGGGCAGCCAGGGAGCAGAATCAGCAGCAAACGCCATACCCTGTTGCCCTCACGCAGGCTTGTCAATCCAATGGGTTTTAACTGAGTTGAGCTGCATTTTCTCCCGGCCTCTGGCAGCCGAGGGACAGGACAGAGTCCTTCTCTAGGGCAGCCCCCTGCAGTTCCAGGTTGTGTGCAATAATACCATGTGCTCATTTCTTTCTCCACCAGTGTGGTACTTCATTGAGGGCCCCTCTGCAAACCCCAGTGAAATGTCACCCAGGGTGGAGAAAAAGAACAAGAAGAAACAAATGAATTCTAACGAATATTTATTAGCAACAGCACAGTTAACATTGGGGCTTAGTTTTAAAGGGGCACTGTCAGAATAAAAATCACGGAGCAGCTCTTCAGCTAGTGTAATTTAATCATATTTAACACCTAGCTCTTATACAGAGCTTTTCAGCAGTAGATCTCAAACAGCTTTACAAAGGAGGTCAGGGTCTCTAGCCCCATTTTATGGATGGGGAAACTGAGGTACAGAGAGGGGAGGTGGCTTGCCCAAGGTCACCCAGGAGGCCAGTGGCAGAGCCAGGAATAGAGTCCAGGTTTACTGAGTCCCAGTCCAGCGCTCTCCCCACTAGGCCCGGCTCTGGTGACACTGATTTATGCCAGCTAAGGATCTGGCCTTGTACTCTCAACAACCCTTTGTTTCTTACCATGTGTCACTAATGACTCCTCAGATCTTTAAAGCTGAAAAGGAGCCTGAACTGGCCCAAGTAGCTTATTTTGCTCTTCAGGCAGCTTGTCTGTTTTTTTGCCTGTTGGAAATGCAGGAGGTCACTTTCACAGCTGGCTGTGGTCAGTTTCCCTGCCAGGTTCTCAGTACAGCAGCGTTTGGGGTGCGAACCACTTTGGGCCGAGACAGTCATTGCAGGGCCCGAGATGATGCAGCCGGCTCCTGCGAGGTGCATTGGGACTGGGAGGGTGCTCAGCAGGGCTGTCCGGAAAACAAGAACTGCACTTTGTGAAAAATGTCACGGTTTCAGCATCTGTTTTCCTTTTGCGTTGGAACAAAATCTAGAGCATTCCAAAGAAATGGTTAAAAACAAGAGAGATCAAGCGAGCCCAACTTCCTGCCAGCAGCCCAGTGGGTATGGGGGGTGTGGGAGATGCAGGTTTGAGCCCCTGCCCTTCCTAATTCACCAGGTGATAGAGTTGGAGCTGCTCAACTTTGTATAAATAATGAAATATTCATTGGGCCAGAGAGGGAGAGACTCACTCTATGGGCTGGGTCGCCCATGGTGCATGCTTTAACCAGCAGCCTACTGGGGAGGTGCGTATCTCTCTCTGGTTTTGACCAGAAATTCCATCCTGGTTCTCAGAAACCTCCCCCAGGGCCACCCAGAGGATTCAGGGGGCCTGGGGCAAAGCAATTTCGGGGGCCCCTTCCATAAAAAGAAGTTGCAATACTATAGAATACTATACTCTCGTGGGGGCCCCCGCGGGGCCTGGGGCAAATTGCCCCATTTGCCCCCCCCCCCCAGGCGGCCCTGACCTCCCCCATTAAAGTTTCATTGAACCCGGTAAGTTTCCACGAAAACTTTTGGTTTTGACCAACTGGCATTTCCCGACAAAAAGCCCTTTTTGTCTAAAAAATTCCCAGCCAGTTCTAGTGCACAGCACCTGAAGGCTGCCGGCTTCCAGTGTTCCAGCCCAGAAAGCTTCACTCTCCCCCTCCTCAACCCTCCCCCCCATGCAAATCGCAGCCACGCAGGGTGTAAGTAATGACGGGTCTTGAGCTCTGAGAGCTCTTTATGCAGAAGATTGGTTTCACGCAGGCATACTGTGCTCCAGGTTGGAGGCGCAGTGTAGTGTAGCTTAGACAGCTTTGCTGGTCATTTACAGACTTTCCCGCCACTAGGCGCTGAAGTGGTTCGAATGAGACTATTAGCAGATATAACCTAGCCAGGAAGCTGCCACTTTGGCAGGCTTCGGGCTGCACTCAGGATTTCACGCCCCGCTGTGATCCTCTAACGCAATTGACCAGCGGAACCTGCAGAACGTATTAACTCCGTGGCTGAAGTTCTGGAAATCGATTCTTTACCCCCTGAGATTGATCTCTTGGCCCTGGAAGAAGTGGTTGCTTTTTCACTTCTGTCATGCTGCTTATGTGAATTTTTCTTCCTGCCCCTCCCCACCCCCCCGCAGAGCAAAGAGGGGGAACGTCTCCAGCTGGGCTCACGGTGTCGGAGGGAGCCAGGCTCACCAGCGTCAACAGCAAAGCACTTTTCACAGACACCTTGCTGCAGAGAAATGAAGCCGAAAAACAGAAGTACGTGAGTAGCAGAGGATGGGCCTTAAAACCGAAACGTAAATACGATCTAGAGCTGCCTGCGGTGGGAATGTGAGTCTGTCTGTCTGTCCGCATACATATTCCCTCTGTCTGTCTGTCCTCTTTATACGTCCCCATACAGCTCTGTCTATCCAACCTTCTTTCTCGCCTGCCTAGCATTTATTCTGTGCTCCTCCCCCTTGCGAGCTGGGCTGAGGTTCACATGTCCTGCCCTGGCAACACGGGGCCAGACACCAGGCACCGTCTTCTGCCTGCCCTACCCATCTGAACCGTTTCCTACTGGGCCCATCCCCATGACTTGAGAGTTTCAAAGCTGCCTAAGGGATTTGATTCCCGTTTTTCATTCAAATTAATGGTTATTTCTGGTATCTAGGTTTCCTCACCTCACAGGCTGGCCTGTCCGCTCGCAGCCTGCTTTGGCAGGGGATCTGAGTTTGAGTCTCAGGCCAGCAGGTGTGGAAGAAATGGGCCCCAAATCAGGCCTGATGTAAGTGACTTTTGACCCCAGTGAAGTTACATTAGGGCTGGGTTTGGTCCATTCGGCTCGTGTTCAGGGACAGGAGCTCCAACAGCACTCTAGAGCGACCCCCTCTGGCTGGTGCTCACAGTGGCATTACCAGAATCCAAAGGGAGCTTTTCAAGCCCTCCATGGATGCGACCTCATTCAGGGCTGCTGAGGAGGGGAAAGGGAGTCATGTGCCAGAAAGAAAAACTCTGTCCTCGGTCACGATCTGGCCAATGCAAACCAGTCTGAAACAGGGGCTTATGCTGGCCTTGGAAGAGATGCCCATTGGCAAAGATCTGCTTGAGTGAGAGACACGTTTGTACGCTAGTGCATACAAGATTGTGTGGGTGTGTGTGAGTGTGTTTACGTGTGTATGTTGCATGCACACTGTCGTGGTCATTGTACCGTCATCCCTAGACCTGGGAGTTGATTTCCTATCCCCATCTGGTAAACATGGCAATCACCGACTCGTCTTTCTCCCGGGTGTTGTTTTGCTTGGAGGATTCAGATAAATACAGCCCAGCACATGAACCTCCTTCTTAACTGGCCTTTCAGTTTCGACAGGCTAAAGTTTATCAAAAGCTCCTTTAATGGAACTTGGTTGTTCTACCTTAGCGTGCTGAGCTGATTAACAAATGCAGGCGCTTTAAACCCTCCATTGCCCTTCTTTCGGAGGAAGCGCCTGCCAAACACAGGTTAGAAATAATGCAAAATAACTTTTCCCTGATTGCTTTTTTCCCACCTCAGGTTAATTACAGGTGGGTTTTTATTTTCCCCTCTGACTGTCAGAAAATGATTAAAAATGTGGTTCCCTTATAACCTGAAAGATGCATCCACTTTGTGTTTCCTTACTGTCTTCTCAAATAAGTCCAGCCCCGTCCCGTGCTGCTCCAGGAGACGAGGACGATTTGCAAGGCACATTGCCTCATCTGTCTGTCCGCGTGTGGGCCTGATTCGCTGGGAGTGGAGAGTGCTCAGTGCCTCTGAAAATTAGGCCTTTCGGCCCAGATCCTCCAGGGGATTGAGGCTGCGGAAGCTAGACGCCTAAAGCCCTGTGAGGATCTAGGGCACCCAGGATTAGTGGCTTCTTCTGACCCAGGAGCCACTCTCACATCCATCCCTGGGCCTACCACTACTCCTTACGCTACCAGAGATGGGGTCCCATCCAGCATGGCGCGCACAGGGCAAGGCCTTTCCTTCCTCGGCAGGTTCTCTCTCGAGTGTGTTCCCCCTGCACGGTGGAACTCAGCCCGTTCTGCTGCTAAGGGACTCCTGCAAGGCAGGGGAAGGCTGTTTGGGGCCTCCGGGAGGTAACTCTCAAGATGAGTCACAGATTCCACGTGGAGGCCTTGCTTCCCGGTCACTGGACCGACAGAGAGTCTAAGTGGAATAAACTCTGTCATGGGTCCCCGGGGAGAGGGACGGTGCAGACTGCGCCGTGGCACCAGGGTCAGGCTATTCGAGTGCTGTGACAGTGGCTAGCAAGAGGGCTGGGAGGCGGGGGCTGAGGGAGCAGATATGCCAATGATGTAGTACTCTGTAGGAACCCCGTCAGTGCAGTCTCTGTTGGCCCATGGCTGGGCTGGGTACTGCTGGAGTCCGACCTGCCCAGGCTAGCAGGATGTTGGCATGTGCCAGGGGAACTCGGGGCAGTGCCGGTGCTTGAGAGGGAAGTGCTGACCTCAGTTTTGACTCCTAGATCTGAATGTCCTGGTTGCTGGGGAGCTGCCACAAAGTCCATGGATCTGGGGGGCTGGATGGCCTGTGTTTTGGCGCTGTGGCTATTGAATCCAGCATTACGGGCTCCCTGCTAATGATGCTGCCGCTCGTTGGATCTTTGCCCCACAGCCGTTCATTGCATGGTGCAGTTCTGTCCGGCCGACCCAACACCTCCAATGAAACAGGAGGTGGGGAAGGCCACCCCGATAATGGGCTGGATCACGTGGGGTCACCCCAGGGAGGGGCAGCGCCATGCTAAAGCTTGCCCAGGCCCCGATGAATCATTTGCTTGAAGCGGGGTTTGCAGGACTGCAGAGGACCGTGAGTCATGGCCTTCCAATCACGTGGGTGCCCCAAGCCAGGCATCGAGACTGTGTGTCTGGAAGGCCAGCCCTGCCAGAGGTGAGCTGCCATGGTCTCCCGACCTGTGCCTATGCACGGGCCCCATTCCTTCGACCTCGTCAGGAGGCGCTTGCAGGGTACAGAGCAAAATCTCCCAGTTAATTCCTGGAGATTTGCCAGGGGACAATGGCACACCGGGCAGCTGTCCCAGAGCACTGCCTCTGCCCCCTTCCCACACCAGTGGGTTCGGCTGGTGGGAAGGGGTGCTCACGCTCCGCTCCCCCGTTACCTTTACCAGCCACTCTTGGGCGCCCCCAGTGTCAAGGCTGAGTGTTTGCTGATATGTCACCCCTGCTCCAGTGGAGAAACCCTTCCACAGCTGCTGCCTCTCTCTGGATCACAAAGATTGCTAGCTAGGGAAGAGTATTTCAGATGTGCACAATCCTGGCTGGATTAGTTACGTGTGCGATTAGAGGGTCCTGAAAACCTAGATTCTCAATGCACTCTATAGCTGTTAGCTTGCAAGTAACTGACCCAGGAGGTGGTGACCCATCCTTCAGAGCCAGGAAGGTCTGTTATGTCAACCCGTTGCATTGATCATTGGCTCGGGCGACGGTTACACACGGCATGGAGCTTTGCCATCCCCCTGGGTCAACAGTGATGCTGGCACCGTGGGCATCTGCAAAGTCTGGCTAGTGCAAATTCCTCATGGACTGTTTGGACAGCGCCTGCATCTGCAGTGATAGCGCTTGGGGTCCAGAGCGTGTGTGAGTTGTGCTGGAGGCTTAGCAGAGTGAAGGAGTCCATTAACGGCATGTACTCACTTCTGGTTCATTTCCTCTCTTAGAGGAACTCCAAAATAGCCCAATGGATTTTCTTTTCTTCCCCCCCTCTCTCTTATTTATCTATAGGTAGATCTTTAATTCTTTTCACCAATTTTTGCCCAGAAATTTATTTCTGGGCTGAGATCCAACATGCCAAGTTTTTCAGCCTGAAGTGAATTTTTACTGCCGGGGCTATAAACCCCTGGAAATAGAGGTTTTTAATGGAATGCGGACAATTCTAGTGGCATGAAAACGTCTCGGCTGCAATAGGCATATAAATTTTCTAGGGAAACTTCTGAATGATGGGGTTTAAGTACATGTTAAAAAAGCGAAATGAGCAGCTCGATGGCCCGGTGTGGAGGAAGCGGAGCTGTTCGTGCGTTCCCAACCCTTGGGAGTGACTCCGGAGAGCCAGGCCTCATGCTGGCCCCGGGTGAGCTGTGTGTGAGCACAGAAGCTGGTCACTGATATCGACCCTTCTCTTCACAGGGGACTACAGGAAGCACAGATCACTTTGGCGGCTAGGCTGGGGGAAGCAGAAGAAAAGATCAAAGTGCTACATGCAGGTATTGAAAGATGTGACGTCCAAAAGTCCCGCCCAGTGTGGGTCCCTGAGCCCTTGGCTGTAGATCCAGATGTGGGTGAGGCTCAGTGGTGCTTTGGCTCTTCTCCCCTGGGTGCGCGGACATCACTGCCCTCCTGGCAGAGCAGTCGGGGGTCACATGTGCACGCCAAGGGGAGAACATGCTATAGGGGCACATCACACCTGTCTGGCCTTTATCGTCATGGGACCACATTCAGATTGGACTTGCTTGCCCAGGCCAGCCCTACCCTCAGTAAAGTCAACAGGGAGAGTCTCACTGATTTCAGTGGGAACTGGATCTCAAAGGGCTTTACAAAGGAGGTCAGTGTCATTATCCCCATTTTACAGATAGGGAAACTGAGGCAGAGAGGGGCATGACTTGCCCACGGTCACCCATCAAGGCAGCAGCAGAGCCAGGGATAGAACCCAGCTTTCCTGGGTTCCAGGCCAGTGTGACTCCATTGACTTAGTTGTGCCTAAGGACATAGTGGCCCCAAGGGTTGAGTGCCTGCCCCCTGAAGTCCCCCGGCCAGAGGGGGGAATTGCACCCACTCTGGTTCTGCAGCTGGAGGGGACTGCAGGCAGGAAGTTACTCAGGCTACGTGTTCGTGGCCTCAGACGCTCTCCTGTGTTCCTGGTGCGCAGAGCTGCCCTGTAGCCTGTCGTCAGTCGCTGCCTAGAGGCGTGTGCATAGACGCTGTCATGCTCCTTTGCCCTGCCACACTGCCCACGCCATCTCTGTGGGGCTCTCCCAAAGGTGTGGACACACTCAGGGCATCTGTCCTGCAGTGCCCTGCTCTGCCACACTCACGTCCTGTGTTTGGAATACCCAGGGCCATGGTGCAGGAGGAAGGGCAAACTGGGCAGGAAAAGCAGCTGCTAAAGGTCTTGAACAAACAGCCACTGGCTGGATTATGGTCACCCAAGGGAGAAGAGAGGAGGAGATCTGGGTGCCATGGAAGGGGGTGAGCTGTGCAGGGTGGTACAAGGGGGCACAGCGAGGAGCCTGGGGGTGAAATTAAGTGGAGGAAAATTGGACCCCCTCTTGACCCCACTGCAGCCAATGACAACACTCCCACTGGCTTCTCTAGGGCCAGGCTTTGGCCCCATTACCAGGAATAACTTTCTGACAGTATCAGACTCTGGTCTCCCCATGGGAGTGGAAACTACTGTGGATAATGAACTAGGAGAGAGAGGGCCAGATCCTCAGCTGGGATAAATCAATGCAGCTCCATTAACTTCAACAGAGTGACTTTGGTTCACTGCGGCTGAAGATCTGGCCTGTACTGTAGGGCGAGGAATGGGCCTATTAGATCTCTCCAGGTTTAATTTCTCTGGTTCTCGCGCTCTATTTCTGCTGCCGGCGAGAACCCAGAAAGTCGCTGGTGCATGAAAAATGTTCATCCCTTCGCTAACAACACAGAGGCTAATTGAACGTTTCAGGAGCTCCAAAAAGGTTTGGGTCGAAAATCTATTAACTGGTCCTAAAGTCTAGGAACATGGTGACTATTTTTTAAAGCCTATCAGTTTTATTGTCTTTATTTGCATCTTGGTTTTGCATCAGTTGAAATAAAAATTAAAAAAAATATTCATTTGAACGGCAGCAGAACAGAGGGCTGAGTGGGAGTCTGCCAAAGGCGGCTTGATCCACCTTCCAACCGGCCGGTGCTTTACCAGCCACCAATAAATCTCCTGCCAAGGGGAGAGCGTTACTTACTGTGTGTTGTTTGATTTTCCATCTGGTCAGCGCTAAAGGCGACCCAGACGGAGCTGCTCGACCTGCGGTGTAAATATGATGAAGAGGCGGCTTCAAAGTAAGTCACTCGGTTTTGTCTATCGACCAAAGCCGTGCACGGTCCAAGCAGAGACGTTGTGTCTGGCCACAGCCTTTGAGGAGGGCCCGGCCTTCGGGTTGCATGTGAGATGTGTCAAGAGAGACCGAGCTGGAACAAGGCCGGTCATCCCCACATTCCTGATGCCGGGGCATTGCACTCTATGGCGGATCTAATACTAACCACTTATATCTCCGGCCAGCTGTTTGCCAGTGGGTATCTAGCTGGGTATAGACCCGCGTTGTGTACACCTACACGCATGCCACTTTCTGGAGGCTAGATCCTCACCTCGAACGAAGCTCCACTCAGTGCAGCACACCAGGGGGCTGGGCAACTGTGACATCACATCACCTTTACTCCTCCCCCAAACCGGCCCCCACTGCAACTGGGAGCAGCCTCAGGGCTACCCTAAATTGTACCTGGTCAGCATTTCATTTCATCCAGCAGCCTGTGATCTCCCGAGAGGCAGTTCCAGCCGTACTCTGCCCATGCCGCCTGCCAGAAGGCGGGAGTGGGGGTGGCAGGGATGTCTGTATTAATTTTATGCCATTGGAAGAATCCCCTTGCACTTAATCCAGCCTTTTCCCACCGGAGCAGAGCGAAGGAACCATAATGGCTGAAGGTCTCCAAGCAGCATCACAGAGCTAGCCAGCCATCTCTTCAGGTCCCAGAAGAATCACCTTCAGGGGGGATATTTCTGAGACTGATGCACCAAACACTAGATCAGCTCTCAGCAGACTACTCCGCTCGCTCTGAGTTTGGGGTCCCTACAGGGATCGGGGTCATTTTCACGAGCAAGGGAGCTATTGGAAAGATGCCATGGCCAGGTGGTTTCCCAGTCCGCGTCAGCCAGGCCTCCAGAGATGTGCTTGAATGGTGTGAGCACGAAGGACGGAATGAGGGAGCACCAAGTTCTAATCCCAGCTCTGCCCGTTGGCTGCACCCCCGTATCCAAGGGCAGACTTGGGTGGCATGGCATAGATGCTCAGCATGGCAAGAGGGCACTGAGGATAGGGGCAGACTCATCAAAGAAAAGCTCAGAATTTCAGGAGCAGTTTCAACTGTCTGAGAAAGTGACTTGGGAAGTCAGCCAGTCCCAGGTGGGGTGTCGAGGTTCCTAGATTTTCTGCTAGAGAGGGATCTCCAATAAGACCCCAGATCCAAAGACCCTCCGACTTCCGCACAGTCTTGTTGTAGATCTGGACTTCAGAAATTATAATAAGGTAAAATCAGTTCTTCCTAAAAATCGCTGGACCTTCCCAGGTCCTTCCAGACATGCAAATACACCTTGAGCCGTCTTCCAATGGCAGGGGGAGAGCACGGTCACTGGATTATGTTTAACTGGCTCCTCCACTTCATTAAATGTACATTTGCTTGTTCTTGTTTTTGTTGGTTGGGTGCCATTTACTTTTTATGAGTCAGGAACATCTTTTCCCTCCCTTCGGCTCTCGCTAGCTGTGGAGGTTGCCAAGTATTTACAGCTGTTCAAATGTTCCACCGGTCTTGCTAACACACACACACACACACACACACACACACACACACACACTCATTTCCATTATGCAACAGAGTCAGAACACTTAATCATATAATACCAAAACAGATGCTCTTTGATAATTTGAGATGCCATTTGTACACGCGGTGCTGTAACTGATTTTGCCTTTGATCAGGACTGCAGCCGCCATGCACGGAATGATGGGGATGAAAAAAGGGCTTGTTCCATCCCTTGGTGTCTTTGCATCTTCCGGTGTCACGTTTTGGACTCCCCCCTTCGGGTTCATTTGGCTGGTTTCTATATTGGTAATTCACAAGCCATGTGTGTTGCGTGGCTGGGACTGGAGATCACAAATGGGAAGCTTTGAGTATTTACCCTCCTACAATAAACAAATCCGCCACCATGTACAGAGCAGTTGTGCCAGCTCTCAGCGACTGGTGAAATAGTGGGTGGGAGTCAATTAAACCGATGCAAATGTTCCTCATTGACAAACAGCCCGAGATCAAGAGGCCTTTTGGAAATAATTTGGAGGCCGTGGGTGGCTCAGAGAACTGGCAGGGGGAGAAGGACCCTTTCATGTCACGATCCCCCCCCTCACATATAGGCCTGGCTTGTTAATGACCCGAGATTGTTCCCATCTCACGGCTGTTTGTTGGCCGGCGTGAAACGAGCTGGGATGGCCTGCGGCCAGTTCCTAATGGACAGCTGCCCACTCCGTAACACTTGCATCACAGCTGGCACGAACCGCCTCCTTGCTGGCAGGCTAGCAGAGACGCCAAGGCCACGGAGCCTGAACTCCTGTTAACCCCGTGAGGGGGTCGCTCCAGAGCTGGCGGGGTGGGGAAGTTAGCATGGCTGCTGCCCATGTTGTACCTGACCTGTGGATAACCAGCAGAGCTGTCAGTCTGGCCCCTTTGATGAGCGTTAAGCCAGCCCAGCAAAATTCCACTCGTCGGGTGGGAATGTTCTTTTTGATGGGCGAGTGAAATATCTGTAGTGTTTTCTTCATCAATCAATCCCTGCGTCGGCCACGTCGCTGCAGGGGCAGGCAAGAAGATTTTGTGCCTCGGTCGGTACGTTTCCATGACCGTTTTGCAAGGCTGCGTTATGTATATTGCACACAGATGGCTAAAATGTCAGATTTCAATTAAGTGTTAAAAAAAGCCACCTGGATGATTGGTGAACACAATGGGAGGTTTGTGGGGACACTCTGCCGCCTTCCAACTAATTGTTTTTTTGCTTTGCTGTCTCAGGGCAGATGAAGTAGCAATGATCATGACAAACCTTGAAAAAGCCAATCAGGTGAGGAGAAATTCTTTCCGCTGAATATCGAGCTGGCGCGGCCCAAATAACTGCTTTCCTTCCCTTTGCTCCCTGCGATTATCCAGGGATTGAGGCGATTCATTCTGCAGCGGGGGCAGAGGAGGCAGATCCAGGTGGGCGCAGGGTCCCACAGCCATTGATGGCAGTGGCCATGCTAAACACTCCACCCCTTGCCCTGGGCTCTGTCCATGTCAGCTGCACTCCCGGAGCCTTTGTATCTATCCTGCTGGATCTGCCACTTTAGGGCTTCTCGGGATGGGGGAACTGACTCAGTGAACGTGGGATCTCCTTACAGCTCCCAGGGCTGGCGAAGGGAACTAAACCCAAATCTGGCAGACATGGCTCAGAGTGACATGGTCGCTCGTTAATCCCTACGGGAACGCTCCTGCGTTTAACCAGGAGACATGCAGAAGGAGACGCCTTGTGAACAGTGCAACTTTTATCCATCGATGCTCTCTAAAACTACTTGGGTTTGGTCACTCGGGCACCGGAGACAGCCCTGATGTCCCTGACAGCAAAGTTTGACCCGATCTCTTTGTTTTGTGCTTTAGTTATCACACTGCTATTTGGGACGTGCCACCACAGTACAAGTATCATCAGTATTATAAACCATCACCCCGGTATCCGGGGGGTTTAAGGCAAGGACATTGCCTGGGGCCTAGAGCAAAACAATGCATTCAGAGCGGTGTACGTTTCTGGAGTACTTACTACTCATTTTATACATTTCCTTGAGGGTTTGGTTTTTCTAAGTCACAAAAATGTATATACAAACTAGGCATGAGTAATACAAATATTTATAAGTAGCAATTTACATGTAGATATGGCCTTTCATGCAGAAGGAGTCAATGTCTTTTCAATGACATACAAACTATGTGTGGGATCACTTTGCCCACCACTGAAAGGCAGCCACCTCTGGGGTAGAACATAGCAGCTGTTTAACAGTGCACAGTGACACTAAACAAGAGTTTAGGTCAGGAAGAGAAGAAAACAATGTCTAACTGGAATGAGGAAGCGTTTTAGATGAGCAGGAAGTAATTACCCACCTTGGGATTTGGTTGGGACAGAGGGAGTGACACCCCCAGTGTTGTGCCCATACAGGTGTTTAGGACACGGGTTCAGGCACAGTGGCGCCTATGCTGCTGTATGGCATTAAGTAGCATGTCGAAATGGTATCAGGGTCCAAACCAAATCTGAACTCGGGGACGTTTGTATCCAGACCAGGACCTCATGGCCAGCCCTATTTCTGTAACGGGCCAACACTGACCCCGGGTCTGAATACACCAAACACTGGGAACCCTGTGCACTTCTTGGCTGTTGCCCTTGGCTAGCTGAAATCCATGTGGACAGTGAGCCCATACAGGCGGTCTGTTCTCTCACCCGCACAGAGGCAAACATCCCCTCGACGGGGCACTCGCTAGGGGTGAACGCTCTGCCCTGCTAACCACCTCGTCGGGCTTTCACCGTCCGCTTCCTGACTGCGGCGGGCAGCAGCTAGACTCTTAACAAAGGCGGTTTGGGCTCCGCGTACCCGGCGCCTGGGTCGTTGCTGTAGTGTTGTTCTGACCCCGCCTCGGTATTATCGCAGGGTGGCCAGTGCTTAATTTGTGCCAGGGCTTGCTGGGGGCTGAGCCCCGGCACCGCTGGGCCTGGCGGGTCAGGGCCCAGGCGCCGCTGGGCTTGCTGCACCAGTTATGAAAGTAAAAACAATTGCTTAAGCCCCGGCACCTCTTTCATTACACATTAAGCACCGAGGGCGGCCCCCCCCATGGCCACGCAGCTTTAGGCCTGGGCGAAAAGCTCAGCACAGGAAGAGCCTACGGCGCGTCCCTGGTTGGCCAGCTCAGCGGAACAGAGAGCCCTGCTGACGCGCGTCATTTTCTTCCCTTGCAGCGAGCGGAGGCAGCCCAGAGGGAGGTGGAGAGTCTGCGGGAGCAGCTCGCATCTGTAAATAGTTCCATTCGCCTGGCCTGTTGCTCTCCACAAGGACCCAGCGGGGTAAGGGACAGAAGTGTGACGGCGCTCAGCCGGTCAGAGCCTCGGCTGCGGGAAACTGGCTTCACTCCATAGACCTCACTGCAGCCGGGCCGACGTATGCCAGCTGGGGAGCTGACCCAGGGTCTGCAGCCGGGGGTGCAGGAAACTTTGAGGGCCATGGTTTTCCAGTGCTCTTTAAAACTTCCCTGTGCCAGGGCCCATGTGGCCTGTGCACATGGGCTGGGTTTCACGCGTGCGCCTGCAAATAGCCGAGAAGGGGCACAGGAAGCCCGTCGTTGCTTTCGGAAGGACCTGGTTTTCCAGAGGGTGATAAATGAAGCACCTTTGCTGCTGGAAGCCAGTGCAGCAAGCAAGCCATGGAGTGTGCGCAAGAGCTCAGGCCCCGATCCTCAAGGGTGCCTAACGGGGACCTAAATACCTTTTGGGGATCTGGGCCTCGGCTAGCAGGAACTGTGTAAGGGGGTGTGTGTGTGTGTCCCCATCCAATTAGACATCATAAGTCCATTGTCAGTCAGGTAAAATGCCACTGCCAATAGCACAAAATCATCCCTGTGAAGCATACGGCTGCCTTTGTCCCAAGGGGGGTTCGTAAACCCTCCCTCTCTGGCTCCGTTCTAATGTTATGCGGGTTGTTTAGAAGAGACTCTGTTGCTCCCAAATCAGCGGCGTTCCCCAGCTGTGGATGGGCCCTTTGCACAGAATCCGGGTGGGAAATGTCAGATTATTGCTGACTAGACGCCAGCGCAAGCAGAACCTCCTGCTGGAAACTCCAGAGAAGCTCCCAGAGGAGCTAGAAACGTCTTTGGTGCTTGTAGCAGTTTTGCTCTCCCACGTCCGTCCCCCTCTCCCCTCCCAACCTTTCGCTCTGTTGGGATGGATTTAGTGTCCCAGGGGACAGCGCTTTAGGCTGAATCCTGGATTTCTGCCAGGCCTAGTCTGTGGTTTGCCGGTGGAGCTGGTCTATACCAGGATAGTTGTACCTGCAGACCCTCCCAATGGAGATGCAGCTATACCAGCGAATACATTTGCCAGTATAGCTTGTACCAGCATGGGAATCCCGGCAAACCCTGCCTAGCCTAGCCTGGGCCTCAGTTACACATGTCTGGGGACAAAGGGGGTTCCTGTTGCAGTAGATAAGAATGCGTGTGCTGCTGGCAAACCTGATCCAGAGCCCGCTGCAGTCAATGGGATCGCTTGGGCTTTGCATCAAGCCCCATGTCTTCTGAGTTCAGAGCTGCAGATAAAAGCCCAAGGACCCAATCCTGCGTCGCGCTGAGCACCCCCTGCTCCAGCAATGGGAGTTCCCGGGGCTCAGCACTTCACAGCATCAGGCCTTTCGAGGGACAGAAACCAGCATTAATTCTGGGTCCCACGCACTGCGCGAGGAGTGTTAATTAGCCCGAGCCCCAGATCTTTGCGGTTTGTAAAGACGAGTTCACGCTCCATTAATGAAAGCCAACATATACAAAAATATATGTGTGTGTACACTCCTGGTGCTTTCCTTCCCAGCTTCTGGCTTCCTTGTTCCAGCTGGTTTGTTGCCTCTAGGAAGCTCATTTAAATATCTGTTTATTTTTCCATCTATATCCTCTGTCAATAGAAGGCCTTGCCCAGCAGAGGCTGCCCTGGCTTAGTCCTTCAGCAACAAATCATCCCCTAGCTAGTGTGGAGACATCGAGTTAGACTCGTGTCTGTGTCTGGCCTCGTGTTTCCCTCCCCCTCACCCCCTTCAGCCCCCAGAATTCAGGCAACGCCCCTCCCTGCGCAGTGTCACAACTTGCCAGCTGGGGGACTTTCCCTTTTTATCTCCGATCTCACCCCTGCTTTGGCACCTTGACGCCATGGCAAAGGGCTGGCGAGGTGCGAAGGGATCTGGGATTCCCCCGGTGCAGGCACTACGGATGGACAGCAGCCATAAGGCTGTCTCTCGAGGAGCCCCTTGCAAGCCTTGGGGCAGAGGGTTGGCGTCGCAGTGGCCGGGCTGCAGTGTGGGGCATGCCAGGGAGGCTGCTGGAACGTAGACTGACTTCCAGGCTTGTCTCAGGTATGCCAGGGGCTTCTCCAACCTCTGGACTAGCCCAGTCCTGGGAGGATGCTACGGTGGCGTAAAGCCAGCCAAGGAATAGTGCAGCTCCCCGATCCCCTGTAATACCGTAAACGCGTGTCCAAAATCGCTAGGCCAGGTGGAACCTTGGGAACAGAAACGATCTGGAAATCTGGATCCTCGGAGCTGGCTGGATGATACCCTGGCCCACAGGCTGTCAAGCTGGCAGCTAACCAGAACGAAGCCAAAGCGGGCACTTGTGCTTTGCGAGACAGAGCCCAGGGGCTCCATTGCCGTTCAAGACAGCTGCTGAAATGGAGCAGCTGAGCTGACGTAGGGCACTGGGTCACGCCAGGTTCTGTTGCCTCGAATGACGGAGTGTAACCAGCCAGGAGGCAGAGCTACAGCGACCCCTGGGGAGCAGCAGGGAGCACCGTGGAGTGGCTATTTCGCAATAACCCGTGGGCTGGAATCGGGAGCTTTCGGGCTGCCAGCCCAGCTCTGCTCTGCTCAGAATCCCAGGGCAGCGCAAGGCAGCGCAGCTGGACGGCTAACGCTGCCCCGATCTCCTTGCAGGATAAAGTGAACTATTCGCTGTGCTCAGGGCCCAGGCTCGAGGCTGCGCTGGCGGCAAAGGACCGGGAGATTCTTCGACTCCTCAAGGACATTCAGCACCTCCAGAACTCTCTGCAAGAGCTGGAAGAGTCCTCCGCCAACCAGATTGCGGACCTGGAGCGGCAGCTCACGGCCAAGAACGAAGCGATCGAGGTACGTGCCCCTTTCTGTCCCTCCAAGTAGGAACAAAGGCTCCGGCCTTCCAGCGGGGGATGGCTGCCTCGCCCCCTCGGGCACCTGCAAAACACACAGTGAAGTGCTGAGCAGGGCGCAGGGGATTCCCCTGGGGAAATCCATCTCTGCGGGTCTGTAACCGGAGGCAATCCAAGGGACGAGGACATCCGCTGTATGGGCCTGATTCTGATCTCAGTGACGTGGGGTAAATCAGGAGAGACGCCGCAGAAGTCAAGAGAGTCCCATGGGTTCAGTGAGATCAGAATCAGGCCCTTGCTGCCGGAGCCGAAAGAGAATCTCCCTCAAGGCGAGTAACGTGCCAGGGCGTAGGCCAGCGCGTGAGCTGAGGTAAATCAGCCTCGTTCCAGGAAAGCCAATGGAGCTGTGCCAGGCTGCACCAGCTGTGGCCCTGAGCCCCTCTCTTTGGGGGTAGCTGGGCCGCCCATGAACTCCCGCTCACCTGAGGGGATTAGCTATCCTGCCGGCACAATGCTGGGCACAACACACACCGCAACATACTAATCACCGTCATTAGATGTCCCCACCCCCCTTGGGTGAGTTTAGTTTGCATGTGGGCCGCTTGGCCTTCCCTGGCAATGATAAGGCTGCCGCTGTGCATTAGCGGTGCGTGTTCTCCTCTTTACACACACTTACACACACACACACACACACACACACACACTTACACACACACACACACACACTTACACACACTCACACACTCACACACTCACACACACACACACACCCAGCAAGAAGGAGACAGAGCCTCTCACGCACGTCAGTTCAAAGGGATCGTGTTGTGCACCTTCAATGCACCGTCAGGAGGAACTGACCACAGCTGTAAGGGGCTGGCCGAGGGAGGGGAAATGGGTCATTAAACCAGCTCATAGACTCGGGCTAATGGGTTTGATGGCTCTGGATTCTCAGACATCCTCACCATTGACATTAACGGGAGCTGCTGGGCGCTCTGTAAATTATACTTGCCCACCGCATGGCATGGGCACCACCTACTGGATGTCACAGGGCCCCGGACTGACGCTTGGCCCAAACCAGAGCCCGGCGGTTGTGAGGCTGTGGGTCTGTCGAGCTTGTCAGTCTGTCTCCCAGGCTCACCAGGCGTGGTCAGCGCCGGGGAGGAAGTTCCATCGCTCTCTGGGGCGCTGGCTGACTGCAGACAGGCAATGGGGAGGAGCTCTAGCAGCGAAGGCTCCTGGGCTATCCTTAGCCGGCGTGGAGCTGAGAGCTGGGGAAAGACCAAGCAAGTCTGACTCTTGTTTCACTCTCATTCCTTGTTTAGAAGCTGGAAGAAAAATTGCAGGCCCAGTCTGACTACGAGGAGATTAAAACGGAGCTGAGGTAAGATCCCTTCCCTGCCCACGTGCCTGGCTGGTGTGTGTGCACCCGGGAGCGCTGAGAGCCCCGCAGGCTGCTCTGAGCCGCGTGGAGCCAGGCTCCCCCAGACATCTCCCCGGAGCTGCCGGCTGGGAGGCACCTCAGCTCTGTAGCACACTTGCCAGCCTGTCGCCGAAGGCAGAGAGCCGCCGAACCCCCCAGCTGATGCCTCCTGACCCTGGACCCATGGAGGTCACCCGCAGATACGCAGTGAGGATGTCACATCACCTCGAGCTCAGCAGCTCGATGGCAGCACGGCAGGAAAACTCTGTGCCGGTAGCTCTGCTGGGAAACGTCAGCCGTTAATTAAAAAACCTTCCCCCGGTTTCAACGGCCGTGCTTGGAGGGGACGGAGCGGACGTCCTGTCCAGACCTCGCGAGCCATCTCCCTGCGTGTCAGGCTTTGATCTGACTGGCAATCAAGGGGGAGAATTAGCAGCAGGACTAACCCTGTCTTGTTTCTCTCCCAGCATCCTGAAGGCCATGAAGCTGGCGTCTGCTAACTGCAGCCTTCCCCAGGCAAGTGCCGGAATCTGCTCGGGAACCGCTAAGAATCGGTAGCGAAGTCCTTCCTCTCCAGGCAATCGATAAACACTCCCAACCGCTGCTTTCTCTCTTTCAGAGCATATCGAAATCGGACGAGGCGCTGCTTCTAGACAAAGACTCTTTCTATCCATCCCAGAAATACCTTTTGGAAAAGCCAAATCTCTTAGCCAACACTGGTAGGGCCGCCGGGTTTATTTTTTTTATTGTAACGGTGCAGTTTTCATTGTTTGCTTTTATATTTATAATCCTTCCCCACCAACGTATTTCTTGTTAAACACGTACAAATGCAACGGTTGTAACCGTCCTTGGGTGTGCGCAGGACTCCTGGGTTCCATTGCAAACTCTCCCATCGACTCATCCGTGGGCCAGTCACTGACGTTGTGGGGGGAATTGGATACCTACTTCCCTTTGGTTCCTTGAAACTGCTACGCCTTAAGGATAGCTCCTTCTATCCGAGACTGCTGAGCAAACCCCAGAACAGCCTCACAACCCCCCGAGGCAGGGGAGAGGTATTATACAGATGGGGAAACCAAGGCACAGAGCAGGGCTATGGCTCGTCCCAGCTCACACAAGGTGTCTGTAGCAGAGCTGTGGAGAGAACCCAAATTGTCAGAGCCCTAAGCCGCTGCTTTAGCCCCAAGACCATCCTTCCCCACCTGTGCTGCCATTTCCTCATTGCTAGCCCTTCCCCCGCGTTTGTAAGGTGTGTTGGCTTCTTTGGCCAGACGGTGCAATAAAGACTTCTAGGCGCTGGTGCAAAGTCCATCCGCCTTTGCTCAACGGGCTCCAGCACAGCCATTGTCCTGAGATTCACCTCAGGGGCACAGCTCTCCGTCGGGCAAAGGCCTGAGAAAACCTGCGGGCCGGCTGGCCCAGGCTCGGCGCTGCCCCTCCCCCAGCTGTGCCTGCTTTAGGGCTGATGGCAGGAGCTCCTCAGCTGGCATCCCCATCTCTGGGGCAGGGCTGGCCTCTCCCTTTGCATGTGCAGCCAGGGCTTGTCCCGCCGGTACGTCGACACTGCCATCCGACATCCGCGGCTGGCCCGTGCCTGCTGACTCGGGCTACGCGGCGATTTAATTGCTGTGTAGACGTTCCCAGGATGCAGCCCGAGCTCTAGGACTTGCCCAGGCCGAGCCCGAACATCTACAGCGCAGTCAGGTGGCAGGGGCCAGCCGCAGGCTTTTAATCGCAGTGTAGGCAGCCCGTACGGGGCCAAATATGGCCTGGATTCAACGAAATAGGGCTCAGCTCCACCCAGCTTGGAGTCACTCAGCCACCCCGTCCCCTGGTCCCAGCCACAGCGAGGATCTGGATGGGGCGGCCATGCCGGCGACAAAGGGCGTATCGCAGTTCCTGCTGCCTGGCTGGGAGCACCGGCCCCAACCCAAACGCCCTGTGCTATAGTGTGTGTGTGTCTCTCTCTCTCTCGTCTCTAGAGGAGGATCATTCTGAGGACGAGTTGGTGAAGGATTCCATGGGCACGGACCAGTCCTACCCCTCTCCCCAGCAGCTCTCTCAGCCCCCCGGGGAAGACCCTGCCTCCCCTAGCCCCCTCCAGCCTCTGCTGGGCTCCACCATGGCCCAGGAAGCCCAGAGGACTTTCTCGTTGTCCCCTTTCCCCAGCATGGCTGCGGGCGAGCGGCTGCCGACGGACGCCTTGCTCCCCAAGCAAATGGTGCCGCCAGCGTACAAGAGCGAGAACGGCAGTGTGCTGGCCTTCCCCTCCCCCTTCTACACGGCCAAAGGCCCCCCGCTGCCCACCAACCCCAGCCACACTGCCCCCGCCAGCGACTCGAGCCCACCCAGCGACCAGTCGGAAGGCAACAGCGCCAGTTCGGCCGACGAGGAGCAGTTGGACACGGCCGAGATCGCCTTCCAAGTCAAGGAGCAGCTGCTGAAACACAACATCGGGCAGCGCGTCTTTGGCCATTATGTCCTGGGGCTCTCGCAGGGCTCCGTCAGCGAGATCCTGGCCAGGCCCAAGCCCTGGCGCAAGCTGACGGTGAAGGGGAAGGAGCCGTTCATCAAGATGAAGCAGTTCCTCTCCGATGAGCAGAACGTGCTGGCGCTGAGGACCATTCAGGTGCGCCAGCGAGGTGAGTGGCCCGGAGGGGGTCGGCTCTCACGCTGCATGAGCTGAGGCGGGGGGCAGCTTTGGGATTTTCACTTTGCCTTGCTGGGGGTGATTCCATAGCCCACCAAGACCCAGGGAAAACTCCCTGCTTTGCACTAGCAGCTGGAAGGAAACACAGCCCCAATTCCCAACGCCCGTGAACAGCAGGCCAGGGTCTGATCCTGCGAGGTGCTGAGCACCTGCCACCGTTGGCTTCTGTGGGCATGGAGGGAGGCTTGGGGCCTGGCGAATAATGATTGAAAACAAACCTGAAGGGGCTGCGTCGCTGAATGCGCTTTATTCATTTCTTCTGACAAGGGGCATTTAATTATTCATGGTAATGTTTCAGGGAGTCCCAATCAATGTGCAGGAGAATGTTTTGTCAAAATAACAAAGTCTTGATGTGAGACCTCAGCTATTTAATAAACAGTCTGAGCAATTCTCTAGCACCTCCATGCAAGGGAGTGTTGCAAACACTCTCAGCCAGGGAAACCGTAGCCCTGGCTTATAGCAGGGGAAACTGAGGCACCGAGATGGGAAACAACTTGTCTCAGGCCACACAAAGTATATGTCAGAGCTGGGACTAGAACCCAGGCAGCTTGGCTCTTCAGTCCTGTACTTTAACCACAAGACCAAACAGCTTTGCTGTGAGGCAGGATGGGATGTTCCTGCCTTTGCAGATTAGTAACATGTGAAATAGGCAGGTGCTCGGCATCTCTGGACAAAATCAGGCCACTTTTATTAAGGAGCTGAACTCGGCCTGTATTTCTCTAGTGCCTGGCTGCCCGTGGCTCCCAGGCCATTCAGAATTGAACAAATGCCGACTCAGATCCCTAAAAACGCACCAGATGACACTTCGCTGTTTCAAACTGGGCTAAAGCCATTGATAGAATCTGTGCCCTCTGCCAGGAACAAACCAGAACGCCGCGGGGTACAGCTCACCTAGCATCATCTGCTATGTACAGCTCAGTGGGGAGAGAATCTTCTGGCTCCTGTGTGACAAGGGGCAGGACCCTGACCAGACAATATAAAGTGACTCAAGATGCTGCTGCTCCGTTGTCCATGAGGCCCTGGTCCCTTGCAGACTTCGCCCTGCTGCAGCCTCTCTCCTCCCGCTGACAGGCAGGCTGTGGATTTCGCTGTGTGAGACGCTGGAGCAACTCACTGGCCTGCTGCTGCTGTGACCGAGAGCAGACTCAGGTCCTCTGGGGCTTGGGACTAGCAGCATTTTCCAGATGTCTCCTTTTTAACCCCTTGGTCCCTGATCCTCCCACAGCTCCCCCGGCGCTAACCCTGGTTGGGCACAATCCAGGGGCGTGTGTCAAATCAGTGCGGCACCGTCATTTTGGCTTCATCTCTCTCCCGAAATGACCTACATGAGAATTTACCAGGCACGTTAGAAATCTCAGCCCGCCGGGCCGAAGCTGGGCCCAGGCGGTGCAGATGGAGATGCCTGAAAAGCAGAGAACTGAGGGTACCCGCCCCAAACCTGCAGCATTCAGAGTCCATAGGGGGTCCAGGGGAGGACTGGAGGGTGCGCAGCTCATGCACTCACCTAGTGCAGCAAAACTCTGTCCTAGTTCTCAGCAAACACTTAACTTCTCCACACTTCCCGTGGCCTCTAGTCCTGTACTTTACTATCCAGATGGTGCGTGGTATCGCAGAAGTCACATGAGCTCCTGGGGCTTTGCTGTACCGTAGGCACATTACAGGAAGGGGGTGGGGGAGAAGGGGCTACACCATTGCATCTGTTAGCATTTCAAGTGGTAACGGCCGCAATCAAGATAAGACCCACTTGGCTCATTCTGCTTCAGGAGCCATGAGTGGTGGAAAGTGTTTTTTTGTTTCTAAGGGCTGGTCTGCCTGGGGAAATTGACCAGCAGAGCTGCTCTAGAACCAGAGAAACGTAGGGCAGGAAGGGACCTCAGGAGTCCATCACCCCACATGGAGGCAGGACCTGGTATACCTAGACCTTCCCTGACAGGTGTTTGTCTAATCTGTTCTCGGAGTAATTGTCCCTGGATTAGAGCGTTCCCATGGGGAAGTTATTCCAGAATAGCTAAATCATACCGGCAGAGGTCTTCTGCAATAGCTATTCCTCACTAGCGCCGCTGGTCAATTTCCCCCAGGTACACAAGCCCTGATCTACGTACTGTGGAATCACAGAAGATAAAAACCCACGTGGCCTCTGAGCAGATTGGAATCCAAGCCCAGTTATGGTCAGGCTCATTGAAAACTGCGTGCGGTTGTGAGAGCCGTTTGTTTGTCAGTGTGGCTGGAGGGTTTAGACAGACCCGGGCAGCCACCCTAACAAATGAAAGCATCCTGCTGCCGTGTTGCTGGTGTAAGATCCAGGGGCTGGGCCGTTCCTGGGAGAGCCTGTAGCACACGGATGTATTCACTGGCGAGGCGAAAGGCACAGGGGCGTTATCCGGGACTGAAGGCTGGCCTCTGGCAGCTCCGTTGAAAGGCCCCGTAGGAATGTCGGTTCAGTGGAGGCTTTTCACGCCGTTTTCAATCTAGGCACCGGATTCAGACTGTGGAGACTGAACGCCGCTATTTAGTGCCAGGGCCTGGGCTAGACTTGGCCTGAGGGGGGATTTTCGCATGTGTTAGCTGGCGTATCCTGACGGGGGTGACGAGCCTAGTGCAGACAGGGCCCTGCCTTGGACACACGCTAAGCAGGCTGAGGTACAGCTCAGGCTCCCTACGAGATTTTTAGCTTGACCAGTTCAGCGCATGCAAAGCACCGCGTGTGAGTCTAGTGTAGACAAGGCAGCGTGTGCCTGAGCCAAGGCCCAGAATGGGCATGTTAGCAAACAGCAGGTCTTGAGCGCCTCTCCTGGGCCCATCACTGTGGTATCTAGGCATCGGAGCACCTGATGGGCGCTGTACAAACACTGATCACTGACTTCCTGATGCCAGCAGGCCTGGTAGTTCGGTACCCATGGCCCAGTGGGCCCTTGGCCTCTCTGCCAGTGACAGGGAGGAAGGCAGGGGGAAGATCGGCAGGAGGGCACAGTGACAGCCAGCAGGGAGAACGGTTATAACACAAAAGCAGAAGACTCGCTGAGTGGGGGCCAGCCCAGCCCTATGACCCCCCTGGCTGTGAAGCCCGAGGCTTCCAAAAGCACTTTGCCTCCTGGACCTCCCAGGCCGCCAATATATAGCCCTTCCCCTCAGCACCTGCACAGGGGGAGGGGGAGCTGAGCCGGGATTAACCCCTCGTGCATTTGTGCCCCTACCACCTGGCCAAGCAGTGCTGAGAACACAGTGCTGCGAAATCCCCCTAGAGTTTATTCCCCCAGAAGCGAAGTTAATTCACAATGTACGAACACCCACCCCCTGACTCCAGCAGCCCTGCTCCGTTTGTGTGGTCCTGCCTTTGTTGCGAATGGGATTTCAATGCCCTTCAAACGAGAGGGCGGTGGGAGGGGGGGATGAGGCCGTGCTGCGTGGTGTAGGAAGTGAACGAGGCGAAAACTGACAGCCAGTTACCTGGCCTCTCTTCAGTCTTGCTAGTGACTAATGGGGAGTGACGTTTCCTTAAAACCGGCGTTCCTAAAAATAACTGAACATGAGCATCCGTAAATACTTCCTGACATACAAGTTGAGCTTGTAAAAACAGCGCAAGTGACAAATCTGTTATCATGCCTCTTTGATCAGGTAGCATTACGCCGAGGATTAGAACTCCAGAAACCGGCTCTGACGATGCCATCAAAAGTATCCTGGAACAAGCGAAGAAGGAGATTGAGTCTCAGAAGGGAGGTAGGTGGGGAAATCACGGAGCCAGGCGAAGCTCCCTCACACAGATGTGTGCGATCCTCAGTGCGTACCAGGAATTTACGCCGCCAAGCAGACAAAGCGATGTGTGTGAGCTGAGGCAGTGCCTGGGATCCCACTTCTCTCTCATTGTTCTTTCCCTCCGGAGATACCTCACCTGGAAAACAGAGTCCAGGACATGTTAAATGAGCAAACCTATTGCAGGTGCAGGAGGAGGCAATGAACGGAGGGCTCGGCTGCGTGAATCGGACAGCCACACCGCTAATGAGAACAGTAATCGTATCCCCAGTACCCTTTCTAGTGTGTGGGCACCAGCGGGGAGGCAGCTTTGTGGCAGTTTGATGGTGTGTCCCCCACCCCGAGGGTTATTGCTCCTTCCAAGCCAAGCAAAGTGGGAAACAGTCCCCTGCCTTCCTTGCGTCCCACGTTGCAGCTTGGTGTTCACACACAGAGAGCCGGGAAGGGAAACTAACCCGCCCCTCGGCATTGGTAAGCTGGAAAAACCCCTACAAGGGGGGAAATGCCACCAATAGAGCAGCCCCAGGGAGGTTGAAAACCCAACACACGCTCTCCATTTCTTCCCCTGGGTTAGTTTGTGCACAGGTAGGGGCGAAAGGTTTGCCAAAGTGTCTGGTGATTTCAACTCCACCATTTTGAGTGCCTAGTGGGGTCTGGCTGCCAGAAGGTGGCTGCTCCGCACTTTCTGAAGACCAAGTCCCGTTTACGATGTCTCAGGCTGGAAGCCCAGAGTCACTCGTTCCTTTTGAAAACCTTCTAGGCCAAAATTGTCCGACTTGGGTACCAAACTGGAGGTGCCGACCGTACATATGGATTTAGGAGCCTACCTTTAAGCATCCAGGTTGGAAAGTGTTGGCCATAGAGTTTTTAGTCTGGAAGTGTCCCTTTAAAATGAATTCCCTGGTGCTCTTTGAACTACTTAGCCCTGAGCATGGCATGTATAAAATTCAACGCTTCATTTCCAATAGGTCTGTTGAAAGGTATGCTGCGTATGCTGCCCTCTGCTGGACACAGGCATAGAAGAATCTCTGATTCTGGAAGGTTTCAGAGTAGCAGCCGTGTTAGTCTGTATCCACAAAAAGAACAGGAGTACTTGTGGCACCTTAGAGACTAACAAATTTATTTGAGCATAAGTTTTCGTGGGCTACAGCCCACTTCTTCGGATGCATAGAATGGAACATATATTGAGGAGATATATATACACATACAGAGAGCATGAAAGGGTGGGAGTTGTCTTACCAACTCTGAGAGGCCAATTAAGTAAGAGAAAAAAAACTTTTGAAGTGATAATCAAGATAGCCCAGTACAGGCAGTTGGATAAGAAGTGTGAGAGTACTTACATGGGGAGATAGATTCAATGTTTGTAATGGCTCAGCCATTCCCAGTCCCTATTCAAGCCTAAGTTGATTGTATCTAGTTTGCATATCAATTCCAGCTCAGCAGTGTCTCGTTGGAGTCTGTTTTTGAAGCTTTTCTGTTGCAAAATTGCCACCCGCAGGTCTGTCATTGAATGACCAGACAGATTAAAGTGTTCTCCTACTGGTTTTTGAGTGTTATGATTCCTGATGTCAGATTTGTGTCCATTAATTCTTTTGCATAGAGACTGTCCAGTTTGGCCAATGTACATGGAATGATTCTGGAAGTAATTCCATAATTAGGCTTTCCTTGTAGTTTCATGTCTTTGAAGAATAATCTAGTATGGAGTGGCATTATCTTGCTACTGGATTGGATCTGATTCTTAGTAGAACCGAGACAATGTCATTTTGCCGAATCCATATGCACAGTTGTAATAAAAAAATTAAACCTTCAGTTTAAGTTTGTGACAGTAGAGGAGAGCAATGAAAACAAACCATTTAAATGTTGTTAGAGAGGAAACAGTTTTCCCTGGTTCTGAGAGCTGCTTCACCTCCCTGCCTGCACAAGGGCAAATGTAAATTGAGTTGCTGTAGTATGTGATCTTTTAAAAACTTCAAATCTAACCTTTTTCCCCTGAAACAGATGATTAAATGAGAATGCATGATCCATGTGGCATGAGAAATCATTAAACCAGCTGTGTTCAGAGTCAATTACAAGAAGTCAAATACTTTAAAACAGGTAGTCTGCTGAGAGAGCAGAATCCCCAAGAATGAAATTAGATGAGAATGGTGGAAAAGCAGACAGGGAAAACAAACATGTTTGCATATTGGCATAATCTTTAATGGGGTTTAGTTTGCAGTGGTAGAAATAGAACGCTGGCTATATATATGCGTGGCAAAACATACGCTCTTCTGGGCACTTATGTCCAGACAAACTCTCTGATTTCGTGTGCCTGTGACTTTAAAAATCAATCCCAATAGAGCTGACATTTTTTAAGATAGATGTGTGCCCAAAGGTGAATTTTATTAAGAAGATTCAAGGAAAATCTCTTCACCTGGGTTTGAGTTATGGGAGAATTTAAAAACAATTGAAATCCTTTTCCGTTGTGAAGATACAAGATGCATCATGTAGACAGATAGGTTGCTGCCATATTCATCCAGGAATGCAGGAAACTGACTCCAGTCACACAATAGCAGCCAGTGTGGAAACTCCCCTACCCCCTTAACTTCAACGAGATGTGAACATCACATCCAGACTGGGACGATTTACATGCTAATGATATGAAGCAGAGGCAATTTTTTAAAAAGGCAAGGAAATTAAATGCAAAAAAATTAAAAATCCTAAAATGGGAATTGTAGAATTTAAGGGGTCAAAAGCAACGTTCAGAATTAGATGATTATTTGTATTATGGTAGTGCCTGCAGGCTGCAGCTGAAATCAGGGCCCCATTGTGCTAGGCTGCGTACAGCCGCGTGGTGCGAGAGAGTCCTTGCCCCAGCGAGTTTACAATCTAGATAGACAATAGAAAAGGTGGGAGCAGAAAGTGAGGCAAAGTGACTTGCCCAAGAGAACAGAGCAGGTCATAGTGGTAGACTCGGGAATAGAGCCCAGTTGTCCTGACTCGCAGTCTAGTGCTTGAGCTACTGGATGTCAGCCAGGTTATTACCCCTCCATCTGGAAACTGTTCAACTCCTCTTGTTTCAAGGAACCCTAAAATGGCTGTGAGAGTTTAGAGAAGGGAGTTATTTTTCTCTCTATTTTCAGTTTGGTTACTTGGTGCACTTTGTGTCTAGTCAGTTTCACCATTTCCCATCTGCTCTGTAAGGGCCCCGTCCTGCAAACTGGTATGTCTGTCAGTTCTGGGACTGACAACATACATAAATGTGTGCAGGCTTGGTCAGTTTCCCCCGTTGTTTGTGTGGGTCTTTCACACGCCAACAAGGGAAAGGAAACATATTTTATGAGAAAATGAGATTATGAACCCACAGATATTGGCAAGGGGGCCTTTTAGGGGCAGATGTGGCACCTGAAACCATGTTTAACAGACTGCTTCACTGACTGACTAGATTTTAAGTTGGAGCTGCCCCTCTATCTTGGCCCTGCTGCACCTATGCATTGTATTCTGTTCCTGACTTTGTAGTTAACATGTGGTGTAATATATTGCTGGTTTTGCTGAAAAACATTATTATGGTAAGTGTCCCCAGGTGGCGCTGTTACACATAGTCTTCCAAGTTCTTTTCCTTGGCATACGAGCAAATGTTCAGCCTTGGGAAGATATGCTCTGTGTCTGGATGTTAGTTTTATTATTCCAGGCTTAGAGGAGAGAGAGGTGTGGGAGCACCAGGAGAGTTTGCTCTCTGCCTTGGTCTCTGAGGCTATGTCTATACTACAGACCTTACAGCGGGACAGCTCTACTGCTACAGCTGTGCCGCTGTAAGGTCTCCTGTGTAGCCACTCTTTGCTTTCAGGAGAGTGCTCTCTGGCCGGCATAATTAAACCACCCCCAACGAGCGACGTTAGCTGTGTCAGCAGGAGAGACTCTCCTGCCGACATAGCATTGTCCACACCAGCACTTTTGTCGGTGAAACTTATGTTGGTCAGGGAGGTGTGTTTTTCACTCTCCTGACCGACAAAAGTTTTACTGACAGAAGTGCTAGTGTAGACAAAGTCTGAGTGGAGTCAATTCCTGAGGCAGAGTTGCTCCCTGGGAACCAGGCATTGAGATGGGCTGAGAACCCAGAAAGAAGGGATTGCTCTGCATGCTGTTTGACCCCCCTCTGTTCCAGGACTGGTGTATGTGTGTAAATAAAACAAATTACACTCAGAGTATCCCTAGACACCTCATTTCTGATTTCTCCTCCACTGGAGGGCCCCAGACATCTGTTACCTCTCACTAAATGAGCAACAATCTGTTCCCAATGTGTGTACACAATGCATAATGGGGCTAAGAACCTATTGCTCCTGGAAACATCTGCCTTTCCTGACTCTTGTGGTTTTAGCCATGTATCCCATTAATAGAGATTAATTTAATTCTTTATGTAAATATTTGCATGGGGTTCTAAATTCCCCTCTGGACTTTAGGGCCAAGATTTTCCAAAGTGGCTAGTGATTTTTGGGTGTCCAGTTCACGACACATTACGGAGTAATTGTGTAAAGTTTCAGCCCCAAAGGGAACGTGGTTCATAAAGCTGATGCAAATGAAAATGGGGGAATACAATGGAAAAGCTTTCCCTGTCCTTGGGCAGCGTATTAGCAGGCTGTCGTTAGATTGCATTTGTCACAGTTACATAACCCAGCAGTTTCAAAGATTTTATGCTACCTGCAAAAATACCTTGGCTTTGTTCCCTCTCCACTCACGAACATTCAACTTTTGATCTCTGCAGAAGACACTGCACAGGGTGACAGTGAGTGACACCTTAGTGAGTCAGGTTACAGTGCTTTTTAGCTGTTTTTTCCATATAGGGTGCACGGATCTATAAATAGCTTCCATTGTTGTTTGGAGTGATGATGTAGCCAAGTTGGCCCCAGGATATTAGAGAGACAGAATGGGCGAGGTCATATCTTTTATTGGACCAAGTTATGTTGGGGAAAGAGACAAGAAGAGCTCTGGGTATGCTCGAAAGCTTGTCTCTTTCACCAACAAGTTGGTCCGATAAAAGATATTATCTCTCCCACCCTGTCTCTCTAGATATAGAAATAGCATCCCAGATTCCTCCTGAAATACCCTATGCTGTATAATCGTATTTGTATATAAGCACCAGGTTTATTATTAATAATAGTATTTTTAACAAACATAGCTCTTGTATACAGAGATGCTGGTGGTGGTGTTAAAGGGACTCCCCCCCGTGGATTTTAACCAGGGGCCATATCCTCCGCTCCTCCTCACACGAACGCCCATAAGGGATTTCAGGGGCTGGCTCTCCACGAAGGGCACGTTGACACCTGTTCCAAGTGCTCTTTTCCAGGAAGGGGACCGCAGCCCTTCGCTCGTTTCTGACGGAGGGATCATGCGGACACCGTTCACGCTTTGCAGGGCATTTACAACCAGCTCATCCTATTGGTTTAGATTGTGCTGAGTCCAGCGTTGCGGCTCTGGGCTGCTGAGCCTTTCCAGCTGTAGATCTCAGAGCTGCTTACAAAAGAACGTGTCCCCATTTCGCAGACTCCCCATCAGCATTCCCTGCAGGGGCTGAGCTTGTCCCCCTGCCGTTGGCGGGGGCGTGTGACGAAGGGGATGTGAGACTGTTACAGCCCCAGCACCGTTTAGTCCAAGCTATGCAGCTCCTGCTTTTAGCTCTGGAAATCCCCGGTTCAGTCCCTGGTGTGTCGGCCAAGATGGCGGCCGTCCCATCTCCTGTGCAGAATGGGCTCTGCTGGGTCCTGGCGAGCTGGCACTCCCCCACCCGGCCAGGCCCCCGGTCCTTTCGTTCCAATATACTCTCCGAAGTGAAGGGGAAGTTCTAGCACACGGCCTAAAACCTCCATGGGCCTTCCTTGGCCTGCAGCCAGCCGTGCTGCGCCCAGTGACTCGGTGGGGCCTAACCCCACGTCGAGATGCCCGTTGCCCAATGAAGTTCCATTTCCCTGCCCCCTCACTCCTGCATTGTCTGCCCCGTCCCCAGGTGAAACCAAGAGCTCGGCTGCTCCCCAGGTGGTCACTAACGGCAACAGCAACTCGGAAGAGGCCATTAAAAGCATCCTGGAGCAGGCCCGGCGGGAGATGCAGGCCCAGCAGCAGGCCCTGCTGGAGATCGAGTCCGGCAGCAGGCCCATGGCCACGCCGCGCACGGAGCGCTCCACCTTGGCCGCCGTCAGCCAGAACATTGTCCAGGCCTACATCAAGCAGGAGGAGGGGACGCTGGGCACCAGCTCCAGCTCCACACAGACCCCCCTGACGGTGCTCTCCCCCGCCGCCTTCGTGCAGAGCATCATCCGCAAGGTCAAGTCGGAGATCGGCGATGCCGGCTCCTACTTCGACCAGCACTGGGCGTCGGAGAGGAGCCTGCTCAGCCGGCCCTACACCTCGGTGTCGCCCTCCCTCTCCTCCTCCTCCAGCTACTCCAGCCTGGCCAATGGGCGGGCCTGGCCGCGGGGGGAGCCCAGTGAGGAGGAGCTGGCTGCGGGCGAGGATGAGCCCCACAAGGCTGTGGAGATGAAGTCTGAAGGGGCCAGCACGGAGCCGCAGAGCACCGGCCGCCTCTCCTATTACCCGGCATACGTCCCGCGCACCCTCAAGCCGACCGTCCCGCCGCTGACCCCGGAGCAGTACGAGATGTATATGTACAGGGAGGTGGACACCCTGGAGCTGACCAGGCAGGTGAAGGAGAAACTGGCCAAGAATGGAATCTGCCAGAGGATCTTCGGGGAAAAGGTACCGATCCGGCTGGGGCTGGCCCAGGGCCTGGCTAGAGCCCCAAGCCCAAGCAAGCCCCAGTTTAAAGCTTGGCTTCCCTCTCTGGTCTTCTCGGCTGTCCCAGCCACTTCGGCTTCTTCCCCCACCGGCCATCCCTGAGGTCCTGAGCTCTCCTCTGCTAGCAGCCCCAGAGGGCCCCCAGCATCTCCACAACCCCTCGAGCGCCATGGGGAAGGAGTTACACTTCTCAGTCCAGCAGACACTCCCTCTTCCCCAAGATTCATGGGCGGGGGGCTACTGCTGGGGGCTGGACTCTCCCCCAGCTATTGCTGATATCTGCCCCAGAAAACCCACTCGATGGGCCTGGAGACAGGAGGGTGGCTGGCGGGGGCCTGTGGAGAGACAGGGAATACAAACCAGTTTCTCTGGGAGGTGGGTCAAGTCCCCAAATAAAAGCCCAGCCCCTGTCTCTGGGGCCCTCTCTGCAGGTGCCACTTGTCTCCTGCTCCCCGAGCCGCTCCCTCCCCCGGGTGCATTTCCCATCTGTCTCCCTCGCTGCCAGGCCTGGGCCAAGCTATACTATTAATGGCTCTCTGCTGTGCCAGGGTCCTCTCCCTGCCGCCAGCCACAGCTTCCCCTCAGCTCCTAACAACAGGCCTCTGTCTGCCTCCTCTGCCCCTCTCCTTCCCCCGGCCCCCCGCAGAATCCCCCACAGACAACTCTGAGCCGTGCCCCAGCCTAGCCTGTCCCCCCTCTCCCAGGGGAATGGCCGGAAGCACGGCACCCCCGTTGGGTGGCCGGAAGGGCTTCGGGGCCGTTTCTGGTTGGAGTTCCCCCCTTTTTTGGGGACTTGTGGCGCTGGCTTCTGGGGGTGCTGGGGGCTTCTGGGCCCAGCCAGGGGGGGATTCTCTTTGGAGATCAGCTAATGGAGCGGCGTCATCTCCGTTCCAGCCATCGTGCTGATCTCACGGCACGGTGCGCTTGGAGTGAGGCTTGGTACCACGCCGGGAGGAAGGGGATCTAGGGGCGCTCTCAGCCCACACCCTCCTCTGAGTGCTAGGCGTACAGCCTGATGCCCACAGATAATGTGTAAACTGCAGGGTTGGACTCTGCCCCGTGTTGTTCTCTCCCTTTCTCCACCGCCAACCCCCCGGACATGGGTCAGAGAAGCCCCACAGCCACCTGGGAGAATTCTTCCCAAGCACGGGCTTTCCTGTGAAACCCCTGCACACGCTGCAGAGCCCCAGCGTAGGGGGCATGCTGGCAACGGGAAGCGTTTGCCCACAGTGCGTGGCACCACCGGCGGCACCTGGCGAGGGTGCCATCATTTAGAGCAGCCCGGGGGGGTGACTCTATTATGCTGGCGTGAAGCAATCAGGAGGGCACAAAGACAGCATCATGCCGCATTCTCCCAAGGCTGCGAGTTCCCAGCACAGGCTCTGAACCAGGGGCGGGACATGACCAGGAGATGCTGTGAACACCAGGCCGGTCTCCAGCCTCAGTATTTTGGATGCTCAGTGGCACGGAATCTCCCACTTAACACTAGGTTGATCTGAGGGGAATCTGTGGGAAGAAATAGCAAAGATTCATGGAGTTTAAGGGCAGAAGGGACCCCCAGATCCTCATGTGTATCACAGGCCATTATTTCACCCAGCTACCCCTCTCCTGAGCCCAGTAACTTGTGTTTGACTAAAGCATCTTCCTGAAGAGGACGCTAACCGTGCAACCCAACCTCTCCCCCTGTGACATCTGCTCTAGGTGCTGGGCTTGTCTCAAGGAAGCGTGAGTGACATGCTGTCCAGGCCCAAACCATGGAGCAAGCTGACCCAGAAAGGCCGGGAGCCATTTATCAGGATGCAGTTGTGGCTCACCGATCAGCTTGGCCAAGGGATCAGCCAGCAACCAAACCCGCCGCAGGGTAAGTTCACGCTGCTCTTTGTCTGACGACTGCACCCGCCGCCTTGAATATGGTATGTAGGGATGGGCCTAAGCCATATCTGGGATCCAGGTTGCAACTTGGCCAGAGCTTAGGGATGTTCAAAGGGTTTGGCCCATCTGTAGTCTGAACTAACCAGCGATATTCATCTGGTCCATTGGATTGACCCAGCTGATAAATCAATAGATGGGTCAGTCCACCTGTTAGACTTGTCGATCAGTCTGATCACTGATACTTCTATCAACCATAAGCCATGGAACTTCCAGTGTTAACCTGGAAACTTCAGTTACTTTCCAGCTCTCTCCTCTTTAACCAAACCCAGAAGCAGGGGCACACCTAGCAGGATAAAATATCTCAATAAGATCTGCACTTCCCATTCTGGCAGGTAGAACTGCAGGGTAGCGGCTGTCTCTTTGCAAGGTGTTTGCAGAGGGCCAAGCGCAAGGGGCCCTGGCCTCTCTCAGCACTAACCATAATACAAATGATAAATTATAGCAGAAGTGCCAAAATACAAGAGCTGGGTGACATTTTTCAGCGGAAACCTTTTTTCATCGAAAAAAATGCAGATTCAGTGACAACGAAACGGTTCGTGAATTGATGTCAGTTTCGCCAAATTGTTCATTTGATGGGAGAGAGGATTCTGAAACATCAAAGCATTTCCTTTCAACGTTTTCTAAACCAAACATTTTGTTAAATTTGAAATTATTTCTGGTTTCAAAATCTCTTTGAATTTTAAATATAAAATTCAGAACATTTTAAAAGTCAAAATTGAAAGAGAGCGTTTCATTCAACTTGAAATTTTTCTTCGACTCTTCCATTTGTGGAATTCTTTAGTTTTCAATCTGAAACAAAAATTTTTTTTCGACTTTTTGAAATTGCTAATGAAGTGAAAAATCAGTTCTGAACCCCTGCAGAGACCAGTCTCACAATATTACTTCCTGACTGGCAACCAGCAGTGCTGTACATTTCATAAAGCAGCCGGTGCTTAAGAAAATTCCAGCCAAAGGTAGTTAGAGCAGAGTCATTAGGAAGAGGATCCAACAAACATCTGAACATTTTTGGGGCTTATGTCTATGGATATTTGACAGCACCCATCCACGGGTCTTCAGCAGGGTTTGAACCTGAGACCTGTCGCACCACAATACAGACCTGTGCCACTTGAGCTAAAAGAGGAGTTCCAGTGGGGCACCCGGTAGTAGGTTATTATCCTCTCTCTGGCACACCAACACAGGGGGTGCAACCCACAATGTACAAGCATGTTACAGATATATACCCACACAGAACTCCTGTAGAATTGCATGCATGTATCTCAGAGCAAAATGTGGCCCTCAATGCAGATGCAAGGCACAGGGGTCTCTCTCAAGGTGTGCTGCCATGAGCCTCATTCATCTTCTAGTAAAGTCAGTGAAAAGACTCCCATTGACTTCACTGGCCTTTCACGTGCTGGATCAGGTGTCAAAGCTTGTTTAAATGGAGAAAGCAAATATAGCTGGTGAGCACCAGAGCCTACGGGGGCACATGGCATCCTGCATTAGCAAACCAGTCTGGGAGATTGCCAGTCAATCCTTTGTCCCATCTCAGAGCCATTAGAGATGCTGACACGGCTCATCACAACTATTCCAGGCGCTCTCTGCATTGACCTCCTTTGAATTCTTAAACACAGGAGGAATTTGTGTTCTTTATTCCATAAATCTCAGCCTCCCCCTCCCCCAACCCCTCCCATGCTGCGTTCTAATTGGAGTGCTGCATCTCCAGGTTAAAACAAGGCACACTCATATCCCCCCAACACACACACACACACACACACGCTGTCATCTTTCGGAAAGGATCCTTCATACATCTTTCCCCAGCCGTTGTTCTGACACATCCGACTCATTTCCAACCCCCTTAATTAGTCTCTTAGACAAGATAAGGTGGTTATACAGAGCTTTCAAATGTTATTTTGTCAGAAATTGGTTTTGAAAGTTGTCTAGTAAAAAAAAAAAACAACCCCCAACAACAACAAAACCCACTGGCTGTGTGCCTAGAACAGAGAAGGAACTGGGGGGGAGGGGAGGGGTATGCTCATGTTGTTTTCTCTCCTCAATTATTTCCACCACCACAGGATCTGTATAAAAGATTTTGCCTTATTTCTCCCCCACTTCCAAAAAGAAGAGACACGTGGCATTTCTCCCCCCTCCGCTGTTCTCCAGCCCGCGCGTGTCGCAAACGACAACTCACCACAATAAATAATGTTCACATTATTTTATTTCTCATTGATTTGCTTTTTCCTCCCCCTTCCACCCCCACCAAGGTGAATGCAACACGCAAGCTGGAGTTTTACTGCAGAAAGGGATTCTCTGTCAACTCCTGTTTGCCCCCAGATGATCTGAGACTTGACTGGAGTTGACAGTTGTTAAGAAAGGGGGAAAGACCTGGCGAGATGGCGTGCCGCAAGATTAGTCTGCAGCCGCGCACAGGCAGCTGACAGATTTGTACAGAGGATTTTGTTATCAATAAACCCATTCAAAATAATGTTTCAATTACACTTAAATGTCTTCCCCTGTGATATATCATGGCGGAGAGACAGTCGAGATCTAGAGGGGAGGGGAGAAGGGTCAGCGGCCAGGGCAGAGTGAATATTACGTTCACTGTCACACACCTGAGCTCTTATTTCTATTAATTTTTCGGCTTGATGCTCGCACGCAAACTTTCACTAGTCGTGAAAGGTACCACCGGGGCCAGATTAACACCATCCAGCATCCTAGGCACACATGGGGGGCCCCCGGTCAAGCAGAGGACTGCTGTCTGTGGCCCTAACCGTGACAAGATGGGCAGCATCCTCCCCCAGGCTCTTCTGCCAAGTGTGGGGCCAGATGCCTTCCTGTCTGGCTGCAGTGACTGTTGCTGCAACCTGTGCGTAAGGCTGTCAGCAGACTCAGACAGACGTTGCTGCATTGGTCACATTGGATCCACCTTTTCCAGCTTTTCCTTGCAGCCAGGAGGGCTAGAGACATAAAGGGTATTAGAAAGAAAGCTTCGATTCTGCTGCCGTTGTAGGACTCTGGGATCCAGGGCCCTGGGGATGGGCCTGCTGTGCCCACAGACTGGGCTTTTGTCCACAAATCTGTAGGTATCTCGTGTGCCACAATCAAAACCTTGTGTTTGCCGGGAACATTCGGGTGATTAAGGCTCAGTCTGACCCTTGTGTCTCGCGTGTGGCTGACGAGGAGACAGCAGCCAAGCGCAAGCGACTAGCTCATGGTTGAAAGTCAAATCCATGGCCTGGCAGCTATAAATAAGCCAGCAGTAGGAAGTGGTGCTGGTGAGTCACCAGGCTGTCCTCTTGCCACTGAGTCAGGGCTGAGCTCTGGACTCCAGCCCAGTGCTTGGGGCTAGTGTGCTGCTGAGGAGAACTGGGTTTCTCAAGTCCTAACCGCTTATGGCTAATAAATTCCTGCGGCACCTTTTGCAAGAGTCAGAGTGTTAACCCTGCTATCCCAGCCAAATTTCACCCAATGTCCTTCCGTCCTGCCTTCCTAAATGCCCCCTTGCAGTTTGAAGTGAGATGATATTCTCTTCTCTGGTGCATAGTGTTGCTGGGTGCTGTTAAATAGTTGCTGCGTTTTGCCCCAGAAGTGGCTGCATTTCAGTGACGCAGGAAATGATCCCTGGGTATAGTTTGCCTGGGATCCTTGAGGTTGAAAGATGCTCTGGGATGTTATCAAGGACTAGGTAGGTTTAAAGGCTCATTCAGAAGCCTCTGTCCCACACAGGGCTAACGAGCAAACAAACCAAGCTGACCAGGATAAACTTAAAACCCCCAAGGCAAACCCTACAGCTAGGAGGAAACAGGATTGTGTGAATGGCAATAATAATGCTTTCTGTCTCCTGGTGTTTGACAGCCAGCCCTGGGGAGACCCAGTCTTCCCCCTCCCCACCGCCCAGCCCTTTGGAGCAAGACAAAAGCCCCCCAGAGCCACTCACTCTAACTCTGGAGAGCAGCAAAGAAAATCAGCAACCGGAGAGCAGGTCGGCCTCGTCACTGAGTGGGAAGATGTGTCCCAACAGCCAAGCACCCGTGGGCATCCAGGAAATCGTCGCCATGTCGCCCGAACTAGACACGTACTCCATCACCAAGAAGGTCAAAGAGGTGTTAACGGACAACAATCTAGGTGCTGATTTCCAGATGCCGCTTGGCTAGCCGCGACCTCCGCAGCAGCGCGTGTGCTTAGCTGCAGAGACGGGCTAGGCTGGGGGGGGCTCCGGGGTTTCAGTCCAGCCTAGCACAGGGAGAAGGGTCAGGCATACGGTTTGGTCGTGGAAGCAGATCCAGGGGGCTGCACTGTGGTGCATCGGATTGGGCCTCTCACCAGGTCTAAGGGTAGGTCTCTGCTCCAGCTGGAGGGGCCATTCCCAGCTCGAAGAGCCAGACCTCGCGCAGCTGCAGCAACGTCAGTAACGAGCACACTGGCTCGAGGAGAGCTCGCCCGGGTCTGTCTGCTCGAGCTGGAAGTGACACCTCCATCTCCAGTGTAGACCTCCCCTCAGCGTCGGGCCCCGGGCGAGGCCAGCCCGATGGCAAGGACACCCCCGCTGCCAGTAGCAAGGAAGCGGAGTGTGGCTGGCGACCGGCTGATTCAGCCGTCTCCACTGCACAATATTCTGTTCATTGCTTCCTTCATGAGAGCATCAGCTTCGTAGCAGCAACAGACGGGCCAAATTCCCCCCTGGGATGGGCCTGCTCCTGCTCCCCTGAAGTCTGGGGGAACTTTGCTGCTGGCTCAGATAATCAGGAACAACGTCATTGTAGGCAGCGGTGCTGGCAGAATAGTCCAGCTGGGGTAAGGGACTGTGCTGAGCTCCAAACCCCCGGTTCCAGGCCTGAACCGCGGTGGCGTATGGTATAACCCCCCTCTGCTTCTCCTCTGCCAGGCCAGCGGCTGTTCGGGGAGAGCATCCTGGGCCTGACGCAGGGCTCGGTTTCCGACCTCCTCTCCAGACCCAAGCCGTGGCACAAGCTGAGCCTGAAAGGCAGGGAGCCCTTCGTCCGCATGCAGCTCTGGCTCAACGACCCTCACAACGTCGACAAGCTCCGCGACATGAAGAAACTGGAGAAGAAAGGTGAGTGTCAAAGCCCATGAGCTCACCGCAGCGCCAGGGGGCACCGAGCCGGGGCTGGATTCTGACCCCGGTGTAAATCCGGAATCACTCCCTGAACACCACACTGGATTGACACTGCTCTGCACCAAATTCAGGCTCGCGTGTCTAGCTAGTTGTGGGCTGGCCTTTATTGATGGCAATTCCCTGTGAGTTGGGATCTGATTCTGCTCTTGTACTGGTTTAAATCAGGAGCGACCCCACTGAAATCAATGGAGTTACCCCCAGTGTAAACCTGGGGGAAGGCGTTTCGGAATCGGGCTCGCAACCTCTGCTGCTCAGTATTAACAGTTCAGTCGAGCAGGCATCACAGCTAGTGGACTGCTGAGACTAACCTGGGATTTGTGAGTTTGCCCATTGCAATCTGGTGACTTACAAATGACCTTGCCATGGAGATAAATAGTGTTCCGGGCAGTCTTCCTGAATGGTGGCGAAGGGCTGAATGCGCCGATCCGGGCACTCAAATAGGGGCGTGACCAGAACGTTCCCGCCCCACCCCACAGTGCAATATGCTGTTGTTGGTTGACTATCCCCTCCACACTAGAGGTGGCTGCATTTCACCAGGGCAGGATGTATTGATGGTGCTGTGCTCTGACAGCCTTCAGGGCTGGCAGGAGCCCTACGCAGGAGAGGTGTCACTAGGATCTATTGGCTGTAGCTCGCCAGTCTCCAGTGCTTGCTCTGGCCTTATCGGGGTATGTTCTCGGGGCGTGTAATCGTCTCAGAATGACAGGATTGCAAGCTGCCGAGATACAGTTCCTCATTGCTAAGGAATGACAAGAGTGCTGTGGTCAGAGAGGGGTTGGGGCAGGTGAGTGACCCGGAAGAGAAAGATTGATGAGAAGTGCAGGCTCAGGGTCAGTCATGTCTGCATCCTTGCCAGCGGTAACCCAGCTCCTAGGGTGAATCTGCCCCAGTGCAACCCAAGATTCAGGCCCCGGTCTCCAGAGGGGAAAACCTGAGGCTTTGACCCGCTGCAGCACTCACTTGCGAAGCAGGGAACAGGGAGCACGCTTTCTGGAACGGACCGTGCCACATGCCGTTTCTGTCCATGCTGCCTCAGAGGTTTGGTTTGGCTGGTTTAATGGCCCTGGCTGCCCACTGGGAGAGCCTGGTGGTAGCAGAGCGAGTGGAGAGACGGGCGGAGGGGTGCTGGCAGCACAGGGCATCTCATGGATGGGCTGTGTCTTCTCCTCTCCCATTAGCTTATCTGAAGCGTCGCTATGGGCTGATCAGTGCCAGCTCTGACAGCGAGTCTCCCAACACCCACTCTGAGTGCACCAGCCCCAGCCTCCAGCCCCAGGACCTCGGCCTTCTCCAGGTCAAAAAGCCCCGGGTGGTCCTAGCTCCAGAAGAGAAGGAGGCCCTGAAGAAGGCCTACCAGCTGGAGCCATACCCGTCCCAACAGACCATCGAGCTGCTCTCCTTCCAGCTGAACCTCAAGACCAACACAGTCATCAACTGGTTCCATAACTACAGGTATGGCGGGGTTCGGGTGGGGTGGGGCTGTCTCCATCTCGGCAGGGAGCGGGACGGGGTGGGGATCTCGGGAGGCTCTGAGCTTCGCAGACCCATAGCTCCCTTTTCAGAGGCAAGACGTTGGCCGGGGGAGTAGGAGGGGACCCCGGAGGAAGGTCTGTGTGTTGCTGCTCATAGACACAAACCAGGTTCTCCCGAGATATACCTGGCCCTGGCTCGGGGGTGGGGGCACTGGGGTGTCAGTGGGCGGCATTTCCATGTATCACACAGCAGCAAGCAAAACCCCACTGCCATGGACCTCACAAACCCGAGCGAGGAGTCAGCATGCAGGGCACAGCGGGTCCCGGATGGCGCAGCCGAGCGGGATCCCTCCACTGTAGGACCTCAGCTCTCATTGCTAACACCATCGTGGTGTGGCCACGAGCCCAGCGCAGGTTCCTGGACCTGCAGCCAGGCCGGCCAAGAGAGACACTTGCCACAACCGCTCCCAAGAGGGGAGTGAGCAGCCCACGTCCCTTAAAACGGGGGGGTTGATTCTGAAACCTAATGACGGCTCGTTCAGTGTCAGCATTGATAGCTGTTGCTGCTCAGTTCTGCAGACCTCGCCCATGGCTAATGTGCAAATCCACCGTTGTTGTTGCAGTATTGAACAAGGAACGATTTGTGCACTGTGCAGATTCAAATGCTGCATCTGGCCCTGGCTGGAGTCTGTTAGTGAGTGGACACGGTCAGTCAGGCCAGAACTCGGAGCCAATCCATCTCCAAAGGGCTGCTCTCCTACATCCACCAGTCTCAGTTCTTCCTCAATGACTAGCACGGGCCTCCGGCTGCATAGCACGGGCTAGCACCAGATCCCTGGCTCCTCCGGCCGGGCTCCAAGGGCCTCAGGAATCGTCCCCCGGCTCCCACTCACTGAGGTGTGCAGACCGGTGGGGTGGGGGGTGAAGTGACTCCGTGGGAATGGCTGGAGACATTATACTTGAGTAAGGTGCAGACAGATGCAACGGATCTTAAAAAGAGTTAGCTTGCGTTTCTGTCCCCCCAACGTCCAGGGGCCGGTCTACACACAGGTTTATGCCAACAATATCACTTTGAAACCCTTGCACAGCTAAAGCAGTCCAGTCCCCTCGCGTGGATGCTTATGCTGGTCCGAAGGTGCTTCTATCTAATCCTGGATAGTTCATGTAGCCTCGCTCTGCCTTAGATCTCCCCAAGGGAACACAACTGGGGGTTAATGCTAGAGGTGCACAGCATTGCTTGCACTACGTTTTTTAGTTGTTCCCCCCAAAAATGAAACTGTTGGTGAAAACTTGTCCAAAAGTTTTAGTTTTTTTGCAACGTTTTCCATGGTACTTTTTGCTCAACATCGCTATCGAAGTGTTTCATGGAGGTGTCAGTCAGTGAAATGGTGACAAAACGGGCAGATAAAAAACCCACACGGAAAATAATTGCAGCCTGTGGGGGTCCATTGGAAGCCTGCGAGACAGACACAAGTGGGGAAAGTTTGAACAAATGTTGACAGCTCATTTCCCTGTGTTGCGGCCCACTCGAATATCAACCGTCCAGGGGAGTTGGGAGCCTTCGCTCAGCGTACACTAGAAATGCTACAGTGGCACGGCTGTGCCTCTCTAGCACTGTGGTGTAGACAGTCCCTCCAGCGAGGGGAGGGGTTCTTCCGTCACTGAGGTAAATTCACCTCCCCGGGAGGCGGTAGCTAGGTTGACAGAAGAATTCTTCCGTCGCCCTAGGTCTGTCTACGCTGGGGCTTAGGTCGGCTTAACAACGTCTCTCACACCCCCGAGTGACGTCGCTAAGGCGACCTGACTTTCTAGTGTGTACCAGCCCTCGGTAACGTGGCAGCCTGGGCTCCTGGAGAGGAGAAGGGGTTCAGAGGTGGTGACACCCCCCGCTCTGAGGGGCTCAGCTGGTGGTGCACAGTGCTGCTGTTACCGTCCTGTTGTGCTTGTCCTGCAGGTCCCGGATGCGCCGGGAAATGCTGGTGGAAGGGGCCCAAGACAACGACACAGACCTGGAGCCGAGCAGCTGTGGGAGCAGCAATTCACACAGAGTCCCCAACCCGCTGAGCCCGGATTCGGAGGGGGAGGACAGGAAGCCCGTCTTCAGAGACACGAAGCACAGAGGGCCGAGCGAGACCCTGATCAGGGTCAAGCAGGAGCAGATGGAGGCGGGGGAGAAGGGCGACTGTTACAATCACCGGGACTCTTGCAGCCTGGAGGGGGAGACGGAGCACATGGTGGCCTCCATCCAGCATCCCCGACTTCTCAAAGAAGAGCAGGTAGATGCCGCCTGTGCGGAGGCCGCTCAGGACGCTCCCCAAAGCACTGCCAGTCTCACCAGGAGCAGCGCTTTGTACACCACCGCGCACGCCGCTGGCACTCCTGACTGCTCTGCCCTTCATCCACCCCAGGAATTGGAAGGTGGAGAGCGGCTGCACCCTGACCCCATTAGCTTTAAATCCACCTCGGAGTCCTCCCGCTGCAGCCTAGAGGTCTCTCTGAACTCGCCCTCAGCTGCCTCCTCTCCGGGCCTCATGATGTCCGTCTCGCCAGTCCCGTCCTCCTCTGCTCCCATCTCTCCGTCACTGCCAAACACCACCTCCGCCAAGGTGCAGAGTTCAAGTCCTGCCGCCGATACGGGCTCTTTACAGCAGAGTGTCAAGCTGAACACGAACATCCAGCGGAGACACGAGAAAATGGCCAACCTCAACAACATCATCCACAGGCTAGAAAAGGCAGCTAATCGGGAGGAATCCCTGGAGTGGGAATTCTGAACGGCTGGGCAGCGGCTGAAGAACAAGGATCTGATTGGTTGCTTTCGTTGGTGACAATTATAAACTTTCTGGAACACGTTGATGGAACAGGGAGCCCTACTGGCGTATATATATAAATATATATCTATTTTGTTAATTTCATCACATGCTGAGGACAAAAGAAAAACCCATTTGGTTAATAAGAAAGGGAAGGAAAAACAGCACGCAGCTTCTGAATCTTCACGCCTGATGAAAGGGAACAAAAAATAAAACCTGAGCTTTGTTTTAAATGTGAAAAAAAAACTGGGAACACTTTTAGAAAAAAAAAATATTTATAGACCTCTTTTAGATATTTTAATAAAAGGATACTTTGGAATTTATTAACAGCGTAAGCTGTTTTGATATTAAAGATAGCTATAAAATCAAGATGATGTAGCAGTTGTGTCATTAAATGTACACTGAAGTCTTGTAGTTTGCCACTGGAAGAGATTAAAAAAAAAAAAGACTTATTGATCAAAGCCATCGAGAAGCACTATAAGACTGACCAAATTTAATAAACTTTTGACTAGCGGTTTTTCCACATTTGTCTGTAAGACACTGCATTGCTACTCTCCTTTCCAGAGACTGTGGTATAGTCCATGAAGACTCTAAATTGAAACCCTTGATGCCATCGAGTATGTATTTAGTTCTGGTGGTATGTTTTGAACCCTTTGTAACACAGAATGTCACGTGCAGTTGTATATGTTGTAGAAAATGTCTGCAATAGCCTTCCTGAACAAGCTGTAGCATGGTCCATAACCAAGTCCTTCCACTTCCTCTAGTGAGTAACCCGTGACAAACCGAAGTGAACGAAACCATTTCAGCGGTTGGCGGCAAAGCTTTCTGTCCGTTTGAAAAACAAACAAAAAAAATGAAATAACCCATATCTCTGATTTTGGGAGGGAGAAGGAAAAGGTTCACGGGTGCAAAATGTCTTTTGACGTATCTGGTTTGATGGTAACGTACGTTAACAATGATCATGACATCGCAAGATATTTTTTTTTTATGCATGAGCCTCACCTCCTTTGGTGAGTGGGCGTCGGCCAGCAGGACACCTTAACTCTGAGCTTTCAATGCCAGTGCTTGGGGGCGAGCACTCAAAAAATATAAACCACTGGCTCACATCCGGAGTCGGAATCTGTTTGGTTTTACCTTAGGCAGTTCCAGCGTTTGAGGCAGAAGCACCTTTATGTTGCTAGATTTTGGGCTCTAGGAAGAGCGCCAAGGAATGAGGATTATCCTCCAGGTTTGAATCCGTCGACAGCAAATGGCTTTCTTTATATGTTATGGCTTCTGCATGTCAAATAGGTCCTCAGCTGCTATATACAGCAACACTTGGTTGAAGTTACAGACTAAGGCCAAGCGCCTTCCCCCCGCACTGAGTGAAGGGTATAAACCCTGGACAGTAGAAAGGCAGTGCTGCAGCAGTTAGGGGCACTTGCTTCCACCCCACCCCCACTTTGCAGTGGGCGCCGTTACAACAAATTCGCCCTCTGGTACCCGCAGTATCTTCCCGTGCTTAGATAGGAGGTCCTTGATAATCTACCGGGGTCCTGATTCAGCAAAGCCCTTTTAAGCACATGCTTTGACTTCAGTAAGGCCTAAGCACGCGTGTGACGTTACACGTCAGTGTTTTGCTGAACTGCGGCCTTCGGGCCTGGTCCAGAGCTCACTGAAGCATGCAGGAGTCTTACCATTGATTTCTGAGGGCTTTGGATCAGGCCTTCATTACAGAGAGGCACGTGCTGAGTTATCAGCCATCGGACCAGGCATTTTAGCAGCGTCAGTGGCACGTGTATCTCTGTGCTGTTGAATTGCCCCTGCGATGGATTTTTCCCCCATTCTCGCAGCTAAAGACTCTTGAATAGACCAAGATCTATCTTAACCCATGCCAGTGATCAAGCCCCGGCTAACGCAATGCCTTTCAAAGAAGACTGGTTTAAATGAATTGTTTTGGTTTGTTCAGTGCTGGGTGGGGGCTTTTAACAGCCTTTGGCAAGGACCAGAATGCAGCATGCCAAGACCTACCCATTCCCTCCCTCCACAGATGCAGCCAGTTAAAAATCTCCGCACCGAATGGTGACTGAAGTGTCGTGAGCGCACATCTGCCAGGCACGGAGGCGATGCATGGAATACTTTTCCACTGTATACATTTTTATCGGAATAGAAGGTATTTTTATACTTGGGTGGTAGTTAATGACCAATTTTAAAAGCAAATCCATTTGACTCCATGACGGCCCGGATCCCATCTGCCATCTTTTAGCAACCATAGCCCTGTCTGAACAAGTGAGAGCTTGTCTAACGGAACGATTTGTACGGTTTCAAACCCCAACATGCCATCGAAGGGCGAGGCATACACGTTGACTACTATTCTTAGTGTGCTAGTTGTTAGCTTTAGTGGAACGGGATTTGATTAAGCACTTAGTCTAGTCTTTTGAACACAGAAATCCTGTTGTACTAAAAGCTAGTGGGACATGTTGATCACTTTTTGTTAGGCTCATGTACTGTACTTTAAAAGTTTCTATGAGATTGATGAACTTTGTTAAAAATTTTAAAAGGAACAAGTTCTGTAAAGAGCCACTAAATACAGAAGTTGTATAATAACTTTGGTGTTTCGGTCTGTTTTGTTCTGAGTTGGTTCCTAAGTAATCCCTTTCCTCCCTCCATTCATCTCCCTGCTTCTGGACCTGCAAGGAGTTAGTTCTTGATGACACAACACGCCATGGATATATGATGTGGCATGTCTAGGGCCCAGCCTGCCTCCCATTGCCTTTGCATTCGGGGCAGTGGAGCCTGTCTATTTAAACTGTTCTACCCTCTGTAACTATCGCCTGCTTGCTTACATGTACTTGTGATTCTGAGGAGGAAGCAGCACTATCAGCCAGTGGCTGGAGCACTAGCCCAGAAGTCAAGAGACCAGAGGGGAAATCCTGGCTCCAGTGAAATCAGTGGCAAACCTCCCCCTGGCTTCACTGAACCAAGATTTTAACCTGGATTCTCATCTTGGCTCTGCCACTGACTGTGTGATCTTGGCCAAGTCACTTCCTCTTTCTGTGCCTCTGTTTCCCTGGACTAATGCTCTCCTCCTTTGGGAGGTGCATGGAGATGTGCAGGTGAAGGGTGCTCTAGACGTGCTCCCGCTAAGCGTTACTCGTGACTATTGCGGAGGGTGAATTTGCCAGCACACAGCTCGGCAGACCAGAAGAGCATTTCTGACCAAAGCAGATTAAATAAAAATGTCAGAGTTAAGATTTGCACTAGCCCCGAAGCCAGCTGTCACCAGAATATCCTCCTGGGGATGGAGAGCAAACAGGTTCCTCCTCTGCGCCTGCTCCCTCTGTTTAGCACCTCATCAGCCCACTGCCTGAAAGCTATGGGCGAGCCAGCAGTTTTCCCCATCCGGGACTGTTCTCTGCGCTGTGGGAGGGGCGGCTCTGACAGGGTACGTCTACACTGCAAATGAAGGTGTGAGCAGGGTGTCTGGACGGACCCGTGCTCGCTTTAATCTAGCTAGTGCAGCTAAGGCTAGTGATGAAGGCCTGGTGCCATGGGCTAACAAGCCACGTATGGACCCAGGCCGCCTGTACGTGGGCAGCTAGCCTGCGCTGACGCCCGTGTTGCCACATGTTCACTGCTGCTGGTGTGTGCACTAGCCAGATCAAAATTAGCGCGGGTATGCTACAGCCACCCCTGCCCTTCCGGGGACCGCGTTCCCAGAGTCAACTCAGCTGCATCCTGCGCAGTCCTCCCCCCGTGCTGCGCTAGGGATGGGCTGAACCAAACCCCTCGCTCCAAACAGCCCCGGACCCGGACCAGCGTTCAAAATCCAACTGTGGAGCTGAGTTTGAATTCTGCAACCAGCCCCTAGCTTACCATGGCACAAACCAAACCCCAGCAGCTAACCCGCCCCAAATCCAGAGCCCAGGGGCCGTCTCTACCAACGCCCCGGCTTTCTGCAAGCAGTTCACGCTGCGCTTCCACTGCGGGTAAGTCTCTGGGGTGTTAAACGTGCCCCTAACCAAGGCAGTCCGCCTTCAGCTTCGACTAACGCTTTGCATCTTAGCGGAGGATTAAGGAGCGTCGGTTTTCGTTGCGGGCTCTTTGTTTCTTTAAGGAGCCGGCTGACCTTACACAGATTCATATCGCTCGACTGTTTTGTAGCTTCCGACAGGAGACAGAGTGTTGCCTTTGATGAATTAATAAATCCATATGTTGTGGAGCTGTTTGAGCGCGTTCGGCTGCTAACGTGGTGGGGAGGATTTATTTTTAATGAATATCTGCAACTTCTCAAGAAAGCTCAGCCTGCTGCCATGGCAACCGCTTTTCTGTCTTTGTGGACAATTGAATGTTACCAAGTTAACCCTTCGGATGCCAGTGGGGAGGGAGGGTTCCCTACGCTCCGGCTGCGGTGTTAGACAGTAGATCTGAGCTGGTTCTGCTGTAGCACTTTGTTTAAAAAAAGAAATAAATCAGCAGCATTTATCTAGCAAAGCAAGATAAATATTGAAAGGCCTGTAAGGTAGGCAAGAGACCTAGGCTCTGTTACTGGCTTTGCTCCATGCGACCTGAGTGACATTGGGAAAGTCACGTCACCCCCGTGTGCCTCAGTTTCCCTAGGAGTAATAAATCATCTCACTGGGTTGTTGCAACAATTCGTGTTGGCAACGTGAGATCCTCAGACTGAAGCAGCGCTCGCCACAAAATATAGGCTGGTTCTTTCTTGCTGGACAAACGTGTAGCTACACAATCAAAACAGATTTGGGGGTAGCGGTGAACAGCATTACAGCATCACTCGGGGGAGGGGGTTGCGGGAAAAGCAACACTAAATCCACGTCTGAAATCAGGGCTAGGTTTGCTTGCAGTGCAAGCTGGATGGATTGACACAATTCTTCTTCCTCCCCTTCTCAGTGCCCATTCCGAGCTGGGGCCTGTCTCCCGTCTACCCCAGCGTGGTCATGGGTAAAGCAGTAGGGACGTTACCACTATGAGTGATACTGGGGCTGGGCATGGTACCAGGGTGTGGCCGAGTTATTGGAAAACTTTCTTGCACTTCGGGCTAAGCTGGCTCCAAGCAGCAAAGCCCAGCTCCAAACCTCTGAAGTGTGTGGATCCAGGCACGGTTTTGCTCTGGGCTTTTATAGCCATAAAGTTTCAGTGGTTTGGATCCAGGATTTTGGTTTGGCCCAGCTCTGATTCTGTTGAAGTCATTCCCCCTTCTCCTTGGCAAGGGACCGTCCTGCCGTGGCGTGTGAGTAGTCGCAGGCTCACGCCCAGCGCTGAGCCCAGCAGATCAATATTTGCAAGACTGTCTCCCTGCCCTTTTTATTTTAATGCAGCCATGCCGGGGCCAGCCTGTTCCCTGTTTTATGAGGCAGCTAATTACCAGTGATGCTCCTGCAGTGGATACCGGAGGCAAGGAGAGGCTGGTTGATGCAGAAAGGACTTTGAGACAAGGGCCAGGCCCCATGTTGTGAGCTGGACAATTCAATATTAGGGAAGAGACTTGTGAGCCTGAGCCCCAGACAGGCTGCAGGAAGCCGAATCTGCCATTACATAGGGGCCGGGAGTGGTGGGCTGTTGGCTCACCGGAGGATCAGAGCGAGAGAAAGGAAACCAGGGCGATGACGTTGCCTTTCCATGCAAAAGCACATGCTCAGAGTAGCAGCTGGGCTGAGAGCAGTGCTAGCTCCCGGCGCTGCCGGGGAACCAGTGTTTTCCTGTAGGAGAGGTCAAATGCAATGAGGTTGGAGTTAGCAGGGACACCCAGGGCTGAGCGAGGCCCACACTGCTTTGGGGCCAGCTGGGTGGTGCGCTGGGAGCCCCACGTATAACCCAACGCAGCATTCAAAATCCAAAGGGGATCTTTATACTTCAACGTCCATGCTTTGTTTTGCCCAGGGATGTTCCAGCTGCTAGCCAGCCAGCAGGGCAGGGTCAGGCAAAGCCAAATCCCAGCCATGCTCATGCTATGAGCTCCGGAGGCCCAAAGAAAGCGATGAAGTGAGGCGCAGAGGCTTTGGATTAGCAGGCGTAGCCGTTATCTTGTGTTGGGCTTTGGTCATTCGTTCCCCATTCTCCCCCTGCCCCATCATACCCGGAAACGAACACTGGCCGCCCAGGAGACCGCAGCGGTGAGGTAGCAGGAGACGCACAGCCCCGGAGGAAGAATGAGCAGCGTCTCTAGCGCAGCAGTGTGAGAGACAAAGCAATTCCTGCTGCAGCAGCACATTCAAGCTCCATGGAGCACGGCTGCAGCCTAGGTCAGCTTCTTGCCCGCCTCCCTGCAGGGAGTCAGCCCCACCTGCGTCTGCACCTCAGCATGGAGCTGCCTTTCTGCGCTGGCTCACAGCTCATTTCCCTGTATCGCTCGCCTCTGGGCCTTACCCTCCTGCTGTTCACGCTGGCATAGCTCCCACGTGCGCTGCCACCATCTCGGGCACAGCGCCAAGGCCACTGTAGCTGTAGTTCCCCCTTCGTGGGCCACCAACAGCACCTGGCTTCAGGCTGCCGGCTCCCACAATCATCCATAACCTTCATATGACCAGGGCTTTCAAGGCGATTGCAGGAGACTGCCCTGTCAGGTACAGGTCGCCCCCAGAGGCCCAGTCGCGGATTGGCTGCTGGATGCTTTACAACTACACAATGGACAATGCTCTGGAACGGGGCGGGCTGCCCCCTGGAAGGGCCGGAAAGCAGCCAGCCCCATTCTGAAGAGGAGCCCGGCAGGCAGGTGCTGGGAATCGCCTGTCCCAGCTGGATAACATCAAGTGATTGGAGCTAAGCTAGCTAGGAGATATAAACAACCTGAGCATGCCTGGGCCTAAGCGAGGGCTGGAGGCTGCTCTCCGGGGGCTGTGATGAGGACTGGGAGAGAGCAAGCAGGCCTTGTGGACACCCCAGGCTGGGAAATTACCTGCCCCGTAAACTGATGGAGGCCTCAGGGCCCCATGGGCTAGGTGGGGCACTTGATGATGTGAACATAAGAACATCCAGACTGGGTCAGCTCAAAGGTCCACC